CCCGAAACGTCAGCCTTCCTGCTCCTCTGATGCTGCTTGGCCTGCTGCGTTCATCCAGCTCTACACCTTGTTATCTCAGATTCTCCAGCATCTGCAGTTCCTACTATCCAGAAACGTCTCTTGACGTATTTGTTGGCTTTGGAATTACACCCAGTTACTTGTGGGTAACATAAAATATTAAACATAAAAATATTGCTGTGCTTTGTTTATTGATCCTGAATTATTAATTTGGTGCCCCCACTTCCCTTGTGTCTTGAAGATGCTGGAGAACCAGATGCAAGTCCGGCAGAAGGAGATCGAGGAGTTGAAGCTTCAGGCACAGGCACTTGGACAAGAGGATACTAATATCGTAGAGGTGGATTCCAAACGAAAGAGGGTAGAGGAACGATTCCAGGAGCTACTAAAACCTATTGAAGAGAGACGGAGGAATCTCATGGCATCCAAAGAGGGCCATCAATTCAACAGGGACTTGGAGGATGAAGTTGTAAGTTTCCTTCTTAATATTTAGTTTAGCAAGCAATTTCTACTTGTACACTCTTGTCACCTCTTCTCTGAAAGAATCAGTGAAGATTTCTTTGTGTTCCTATGCTTCCAGTATTGTGTAGATGAAAACGGGATGGTCATGACCTTATTTAATTTTCCATTATTAATTATAATGAGTGGGTTTCTATTGCGGTTGACCTTTGAGTATAGGAGTTGGGACGTTATGTTGAGGTTGTACAGGATGTTGGTGAGGCCTCATCTGGAATAGAATGTCCAGTTCGTGTCTCCCTGTTACAGGAAGAATGTTATTAAGCTGGAGAGGGTTCAGAAGATTTACCAAGATGTTGCCAGTAATGGAGGGCTTGCATTATAAGGAGAGGCTGGGTAGGCTGGGACTTGCTTCACTGGAGTGTGGGAGGTTGAGGGGGTGACCTTATAGAGGTATATAAAATAATGGAAGGATATAGATAAGGTGAATGGCAGGTGTCTTTTTCCTAGGATAGGGGATTTCAAGACTAGGGGACATAATGTTGAGGTGAGAGGAGAAAGATTTAAACAAGATATGAGGGGCAGTTTTTTTTACACAGAGAATGTGTGGAATGAAATTCCAGAAGAAGTGGTGGATGCGGGTGCAGTTACAATGTTTAAAAGACATTTGGATAAGTACGTGAATCAGAAATGTTTGGAGGGATACGGGCTTAGCATAGGCAGGTGGGACTAGTTTAGTTGGGATTATGGTTGGCATGGACTGATTGGGCTGAAGAGTCTGTTAACATGCTGTATGACTCTATAACCACAACAGGTTTTAAAAAGAAGAATAAGATTGCCACTTCAGTACATTTAACTGTTTAAGTGCTCCAACTGTAAACAACACAGTTAGGCATGTTTCTTTCTTTAAAAAAAAGTTGAATAATATTTTTGTACTTAACGTCCTATCTAAATAATGCTCTGACTCTCACTCTGGTGCGTGTGCACATGTACAATTAAGTTAAAAAGCGGAAAGATGAGTTAAGTAGTTTAAAAGTCCAATCAATGCTTCGATAATTACAGGTTCAGTAGATTGATACCTTGGATGATTTCAGACTGGTCCTTATGAATTTTGTGAGAGGGTGATTTAAAGATGTTGATGAATAATTTCTGTTTTATCTCCTGGAGTCAGCAGCTATTGGACACTAGATTGTCAGTTAACAGGCAGTGTGCAGTCTTGTCAGATGGAAGAAAGAAAAACAGCGCCCACTCGGCATCCTGCTTCTTCTGCTTTTCCCTTCTTCTGCATCTCTTCTATTTTTGCTCTCCTATTGTGGAGAGAAAAAGTTACCTAAAACACAAAAGAGGTTTAGTTAGCTCATTACATGATTCCCTCTCACCAACTGACCAGTTTGCCAAACCTGGCCATAACAAGTTGATCAATGATTTAGACATTGTGGCTGCTGGATTACCTATTTAGCCAGGGTCAATTGTCCATAATGATTATATCTAATAGTGGCTTGTTCGACACTCATTTGAATATGCAGGTGTTGCCTGGATGTTTTGTGAATGGGTCAGGAGCTAAGCCATTCACATGCTTCTATGCTGATTATCTCTGATGGGTTATGCTAGACACCCTGACTTGGTATTTGTAGGGTACAGCCTTACAAATGTTCAGCCATTTTAGAAGCCGTATTTTTTTTTGTTACAAACTGCTGATGTTCCGTCTTTCAAAACTCAACTCATGGTTTCAGCCCAATGAATAATTTAAGTCTTTTTGGATACAAAACATGGGTTTTGTAACAGACCGTTATGGATGTTCACTTCTTGCTCATAGCTCCCCTCTCCTCTGCACCTAGGTAATCTAAAACATACATGAGAAGTAATTCTGTCCCAGCTAGGTTGCAGTCTCAACTGAAGGTGTAATCCTCACCCAGCTGGCAATTCTTCACCTGAGTACAAATAACTATTCAATCCTGAATTACATTACAGAGGAACCTAACACTGTTGTCAGCCATGCATCTGTGCCTTCACCAGAAATCACTGGATAATCAATCACAAATCAACCACAAATCACTTATTCCCCTTCCAATCCCAGGATTACTGAGAGCAGTTACAACTAAATAAGTTGAGAACAACTAACAAAAGAAAAATTTGCATTGATGTAGCACCACGGAATGTCTCAGTGAATTGTTTCTGAGAATAAATCACTGTTGTTACAGAGGTAAACACTGCAGCCATTTTGCGATGTACCACCCATAAAACAGCAGTAAATGAGACAAATTACCAGCGAACAGTTGAAGTCTTTTTTCTTAGTGTTGGTTGGGTAGGAAATTTTAGCTTGCAAGCCAGGGAAACATCTTTGTTGAAAGCTTTTCTATGACCACACGGAATGGCAGAAGTTTAATTTGGAGAACAGAAAAAGAAATTGCTTGAGAAACTCAGCAGGTCTGGCAGCATCTGCGAAGAGAAAACAGTGTTAATATTTTGTGATTCTGATGACCCTTCTTCAGGACTCGTTCTGAATTTCTCCAGCAGTTTCTCTTTTTGTGTATTTCAGAACTCCAGCATCCACAGTTCTTTGTTTTAGTTTAATCTGGAGGATGACACTAACTGCCTCAGTACTGCATCAGGAGTATTGGTTTGAATTTGCTATTCAAGTACCACAGTGAAGGTTTAAACCCATAATGTTCTTACCCAGAGGCCTAAAACAAGCTGATGAGATCAGCAAACCAAGGGATTGAACCTGAACCTTCTTGATTACAAGTAAAGCATGTATATGTGGACACCATGGGAGAGAGTAATTTGTTTTACTACAGCCCTCTAGATAAATGTGTGGAAAATGAGACATTCTATTTTTTATAAGATTTAGAGTCTTGTAAATCCAATGAAAAGTTAACATAATGTTAATTGTTCTGATTTAGTTTCTCTCTCTGCCTCTGTCACTCTCTCTCTGTCTAGCTCTGGATAAATGAACGGATGCCACTGGCAACCTCAACCGATCATGGCAACAATCTGCCAACTGTGCAACTACTCATTAAAAAGAACCAGGTGAGATGGGAACTGGATATAGCACATTTAATTGTGCACATGTTTTGACAGGGTGCTAAAGGTGTCACTAAACACCTGGTTCTATTCATATTTTTAGACTGTTGAATAATAGCTGTAATGTGTCTTGTCTAGGAGCTGTTTCACCAGCTATTGGATACAAACTCCACTGCTAAGTGATGCGTTTAGATTACAGATTATTCTCATCTTACTCACAGTCAGAATTAAATGTCTGAACTATTCTACTTTTCTGTTGCATCAGTCAGTCAAAGACAGACTGTTAGGATCTTGTTCACTAGGACAGAGCAAGTGTGACTTTCATTAAATAATAATGAGAGACTGATTTCAGAGTATTGCAAGGTACAGATTCAATCATTCACTCTTCTTCTTTGGAAAACATCTGCATGTCTACTTGTAGTGTAGGAGCTAGCAGGCACCTACCTTTTCAATTCCTACATTAGAATTGAAGAACGGCAATAAATGGTTGAACAACTACATAGCTCATATCCTTTCTCAGGTGTTCTGTTGTCTGCCTAAGTTGTCCACTCTCTACCATTGCTATAGTGTTTACAGAATGCACAGCAGCAAGTCACAATGGAATTTTTGACAACACCTCCAAAACTTGAAACCTCTAGTATTTTGAAGGAAAAGGGCATAGGTGCATGTGTCAAATCCAAGTTCCCCTGTAAGTCACATCCTTATTTGAGACATAAATCAGCATTCCTTCGTCGTAGCTGGGTCATACTACTGGAACTCCCTACCCTGCAGTACCTTCACCACATGAAATTTCAGGTTTCGAGATTAAACAAAAAGCTGTCCACTACAGTCATCTGAAGAGTAACTAGAGACAAATGGGGAATGCCATCTTGCCAGTGACTCCCACGTCCAAGAATGAATACAAAAGAAAACAAAATGTGTCTTGAAGTGTATTATCGGATTTGGTCCTTCTCTTGGTTAGTTGTGAAAAGTAAAAATGATTACAATTTGAATGTATCTGACCATCGTTTCCATGGATAGTGCGCAGGAAGAAAATCAAGCTCTTGCCTAAGCTCTGAACAACAATGTGGGCAAGTTTTGCACTAGAACTAGCAAGAGTTGACAACATCAGGGTAGAAAACTGTGCTACTGGGAGATTTTCAATTCACTAAATGTTGCTGCTACTCAGTTGGTAAGAATGAAGTTAGTCATTTGGAGTATTGTTCTAACATAGTGATGCGGTATATATTCTGTGGATATAGATGGTTGAAGATAATTATGAAATTAGGACTCAATTAGCATAATTATTTTTAACATTGAACTTTGATCTTTAGACCCTACAGAAGGAGATCCAGGGTCATCAACCTCGAATTGATGATATTGCAGACCGTGGAGAGACAATGGCCAAAGCAGGACGCATAGACTCTGAAGTGCTGCGAGCCCGCCTGGGAGACCTGCAGAAGATGTGGAAGACATTAATCGAGGAGACAGACAAACGCAGTGCCCGCCTGGAGGAGTCGCAGAAGGCTCAGCAGTTCTACTTTGATGCCGCTGAAGCTGAGGCATGGATGGGGGAGCAGGAACTTCATATGATGTCGGAAGAGAGGGCCAAGGTACTAAACAATTATCATATCAGTTAAGAGATGGAGGAAAGTTTAGGCAGAGCAATTTGCAATAAAGAAGAATTACATTTGAGTTTTCTTCTTAGAAGTAAAGTTTCTGACCTCCAGGGAAACCAACAAATTCAGGTTCCCTTCTCTTCTACTCCATAATGTTGCCCACAGGTAGTGTTCTGGAATAGGTCTGTTTAAAGTAACTGAGGTCTTAACTTTGGACCAGCCTTGAAGTTACACTGGTGATAGCAAATTTGGAGCGCGGAAAGTACTGTCATTAGCTTTCCTCTGACGACTAAATTGAAAATCTTGTACCTAACTGTGGGGTTGTGTAGTGGCTGTCAGGTTTGGAGTGGATTGTGGTGATGGTATCTGAGAGTCCCGTTGAAAATATTGGATTATTTAATGAACCCCATCAGTTAAGTAGAGGTATATTCTAAATGCTTATGTTACAGTTCTGCAGTCTCCCTTCTGTTTCAGCTTGCACATAAAATGGCATTAGTTGCATCCAGTTTTCTGTTTTACGATGGTGTTGAACTTGTGAACTATTTAACTCTCTTTCACTATGTTGTTATGTGTGAAAAGGATGAACAGAGTGCAATGGCGATGGTAAAGAAACACCAGGTGGTGGAGCAATCACTGGAGGATTATGCGCAGACAATTCACCAACTCTCCAACCTGAGCAGGAATCTAGTAACTAGCACCCATCCTGAGAGGTCAGTGTCAACACTATGGAATAGATGCTCTCTAGGTGTTTCCAGTTGTGAATAAACAAACTAATGTCTTATCCAAAATGATTTAAACCATGTTAAAATAACTCTCTGGATTATCCTTCAGTCTGATGACCTCTTTTACTTAATGTTACAATTCCACTTAATGCGGAGATAATGAGGTTTTGTAAACCTCAGTCTACAGTATGGTATACAGTAGAAGTCTTGCCATAACTGTCAATAGCTCTCAGCATGCTGTTGAATATTAGCCTGTATCTATTTGCTTCTCTGGTAGAGGAGGGTGATTGGGATGGAATCCTTTGTGTTGCCTTCAGGATAGAGTCCCAGATGCTTATGTACCCTTTGATCTACAGGTCAATTGCAATGGGTTGAATGGTCAATGGGCTGAAGAGTGGCAAATGGAGTTGAATTTGAATAAATGAGAGGCTTGCATTTTGGTAAAACAAACAAAGGCAAGATTTATTCAATTAAAAATAGGGCCTTGGGCAGTGTTGTAGAACAGAAAGACCTAGGGGCTCAGGTATATAATTCTTTGAAGTTTGCATCATGTATAGATAGGGTGGTTAAGAAGGCATTTAGCGTGCCTTCATTGCTCAGCGATTTAAGTACACGAGTTTAAATGTTATGTTAAGGTTGGTGAGGCCTCTTCTGGAGTACTGTGTCCGGTTCTGGTCTCCCTGTTATAGAAAGGATATTATTAAACTGAAGAGGGGTCAGAAGAGATTTACCAGGTCATTGATTTTTTTCACTGGAGCATAGGAGGTTGAGAGGTGACCGCATAGACGTTTATAAAATCATGAAGGATGTCGATGAGATGAATGGTAGGATGTCTTTTCCCTAGGGTGGGGGATTTCAAGACAAGGGGGCATATTTTTAATTTGAGAGAAGAAAGGTCTAAAAAAGACATGAGGGACAGTTTTTTTACACCGAGAGTGGTTCATGTGTGGAAAGAACTTCCAGAGGAAGTGATGGCAGCGGGTACGGTTACAGTGTTTAAAAGGCACTTAGTACATGAATAAGAAATGTTTGGAGGGATATGGGCCATCCACAGGCAGGGGCACTAGTTTAATTTGGGATTATGGTCGGCATGGACTGAGTTTGTTTCCGTGCTGTATGACTCTATTGCTCTGAGATGGGAGACTCTAGAGTGCCCCTAAGCTGGCCTCATTCAAACATTAATGCTGGGCTTTTGTCTTATCTAGCCATAGTCCTGGTGAAGCCCTTGGGAATTCTAAACCTCTGATAAATTGGGGCTCAGCCATTATTCTTTCTCCTCTGTCCTCGAAATTCCTGAGGTACAGCTATGGTTCTTTACCTCATTTCTTTTTTTTGTGGACTGTACAGTGACCGGATTACTCTAAGACAGTCACAGGTGGATAAATTGTATGCTGGATTGAAAGACCTGGCTGAGGAGAGACGGGAAAAGCTACAGGAGGGTTTACGGCTCTGCCAACTCAAACGGGAGGTGGATGACCTCGAACAGTGGATTGCAGAACGGGAGATTGTGGCTGGTTCCCATGAACTGGGTCAGGACTATGAACATGTCACTGTGAGTAATGGGTGCCTTTTATTTTTTACCTCTTGCTCATATGTTATGGAAGGACAGCTTTCCTGTGACCCCTTAACTTGCTGGTGTGGCTTACCTTAAAATAGTGATCAGGATCGACCTGGGATAACTTATGTTTACAAAATTTCCTCTTGTTCATTTACTTTACAAAGCTGCAGAATCACAGGAGTACAGTCTGATGCTTTTGCAACTTCTCCTCGATACTTTGCAGCTAAATTTCAAAACAAGTCCTTTCTTTGAGGTACCTAGCACAGATATCAATAGTCCACCTGGTATAATCTAGAAGAATGAGGAGGGAGCTTATAGAAACATATAAAATTATGAAGGGAGTAGATAGGATAGGAGCAGGGAGGTTGTTTCCACTGGCAGGTGAAACTAGACCTAGGGGGCATAGCCTCAAAATAAGGGAGAACAGACTTAGGACTGAGTTGAGGAGGAACTTCCTCACCCAAAGGGTTGTGAATCTGTGGAATTCCCTGCCCAGTGAAGCAGTTGAGGCTTCCTCATTGAATGTTTTTAAGGCAAAGGTGGATTTTTGAACAGTAAAGGAATTATGGGTTATGGTGAGCTGGTGGGTAAGTGGAGCTGAGTCCACAAAAAATTGGCCATGATCTTATTGAATGGCGCAGCAGGCTCGACGGGCCAGATGGCCTACTCCTGCTCCTATTTCTTATGTTCTTACATTCTTATGTAATATGCAACCAAAGAAGGCATCTGTGTTAAGCCCAATTGTCGTCATCTGACATTTATTATGCAACAAGTGCCCACTTGATTATGGACAAGTCAGAAGTTTGACTGATTTTTATCCCTCATCCTAATGTCAGAAGTACTGAGACTACTTATGATCCTCTCACTAGTTTCCTGGCTGAGGAAGACCTCAGATCTTCTGGCCTGTGTATACTTAGTGAGTGAAGTGGAATCCTTTGCTTGGGTTTCTGTGCGGCATTCATATGTATGTAAGTAGGTGAACACTTCAGCTAACATAGCAGAGAAATCTTGTTCAAAAGTGAGGAACTGTATTTCCTGGTATTGGCAGGTGGTATATCCATACATAGGATGTTGACTGAGAGATAATAGTAATTGGGCTTTAAACTAATTTGTTGGGAAGAGGATTTAATTGAAGGAAAATTTAATAAATCAAAAAGAAATTAGGTTCAGGATAGTGAAGATGCGAATAGTAATCAAAGTGTGACAATAAGGGATAGAAAACATGCAGAAGAGTGCAGCGGGAACTATAACCTAAGTAAATAATGATAATAAAATGTCAACACTTAAGTCTCTTAATTTGAAAGTACACAACATTTGTAACAAGTTAAATGGGTTGACAACACAATCAGAAATAATTTTATATCGCTGGACAGCTATTACAGAGACGTGGTTACAGGGTGACCAAGAGTGGGAACTCAATATTCAAGAGTATTCAAATTTACAGAAGAATAGGCTGAAAGGAACAAAACATGGGGTAGCATTGTAAATAAAGGAAGAAATGGGATACAGTTAACTAGAAACTCAACTTGACTAGCCATGTAAATACAGTGGCTACAAGAGCAAGTCAGAAGCTAGGAATACTGTGACGAGTAACACACCTGACTCTCAAAGTCTGTCCACTATCTGCAAGGCACAAGCCAGGAGTGTGATGGAATACTCACCATTTGCCTGGATGGGTGCAGCTCCAACAACACTCAAGAACCTCAACACCATCCAGATCAAAGGTGCCCGCTTGATTGGCACCACATCTACAAGCATCCACTCCCTCCACCACTGATGCTCAGTAGCAGCAGTTTATATTATCTACAAGATGAGCTGCAGAAATTTACCAAAGATCCTTAGACAGCACATTCAAAATGCACAACCATTTCTATCTTGAAGGACAAGAGCATCAAATCCAAGGGAACACCACCTGTTGCAAGTTCCTGTCTGGGCCAGTCACCACCCTGACTTGGAAATATATTGACTATTCCTTCAGTGTTGCTGGGTCAAAATCCTGGAATTCACTCCCTAACAGCATTGTTGGTCTACCTGCAGCAGTTCAAGAAGGCAGCTCACCACCATCTTATCAAGGGTAACTAGGGATGGGTAATAAATGCTGGCCAGCTAGTGATGCCCACATCCCATATGAGAATGAAAGAAAATCAGTATGGTGGTGAGAAGTGAGAATAGGTGCAATAGATCATGATGTGCAATCAGTTTGGATGGAAATAAGGAGTAGCAAGGGAAGTAATTCATATGTGGGAGTCATCTGTGAGCCCCTGTGGCAGGGGGACACAATAATTGGCATTGGTAATTTTAATCTTATTGAATGGACAATTAGATGGGCATGCAAGACGAATTTACAGAGTGCAGAGATGGTTTGTTAGAGCAGTACGTTCTAGAACCTACTCAGGAATAGGCTATTTTAGATCTAATAATATGGAATGAAATAGGATTAATGATAAATCTTGTAATTAAGGATCCTGTAGGGGCTAGCGATCACAACGTGGTAGAATTTAAAATTCAGTTTGAGGCAGAGCTGCTCTGGTCTCAAACCCGTGTCCCCAACCTAAATAAGAGTAATTGTAGAGGTAGCAGAAAGAAAGTTGTCTAAAGCTGGTGGGAAAATAGATTAAATAGAAAGTCAGAACGGTAGGGTCTCAGTGCAAAGGATCAGCCACCCTGATTGACAAAAGCAGTCAAGGAAAGTATCCTATCAAAAATTAAGACAAAAAAAAGTAGGGGAAACTAGTGGTAGGCTAGAGGAATAGGATTTTTTTTTAGCAACCTAGCAACAGCCATGATCTTGCCCATTGGCTTCCTCCTGCTCCTATTTCTTAAGTTCTCATCTAATCCTGCCATTCTTTGTACAGATGTTGAGGGATAAATTTCGTGAGTTCGCACGGGATACCAGTAATATTGGACAGGAACGTGTGGACTCTGTGAACCGCATGGCTGATGAGCAAATTGACTTGGGTCACTCTGAGAATGCCACCATTGCTGAGTGGAAGGACGGATTGAACGAGGCCTGGGCTGACCTGCTGGAGCTCATTGACACTCGAACGCAGATGTTGGCTGCTTCATATGAGCTGCACAGCTTCTACCATGACGCTCGGGAGACGCTTGACCGCATTCAAGAGAAAGAAAAGCAGCTGCCTGAGGAAGTTGGTCGTGACCTAAAGACAGTAGAGAGAATGCATCGGATGCACACTACATATGAACATGACATACAGGCATTAAGCACACAGGTAAGTGCAGAACATGCTCACTCTTTCCCTGTCTTTCTTGCCCCTCGCCCTCCTTCCTCTCTTGCCTGTTTTATTCTCGTTCTTTTTCTTCTTTATGTTTCCTTTTTTGAGCGTAAGAACATTCTTTCTTTCCAAGTGCACTCCATTTTTCTGACAGATTCCTACTTTTTTAAAGTTTTATTTCCACAAAATTTAAAAGTGTGTGGAAGAAAGAGATTATGTAATTATGATTTTGAAGATGTCTTGAAGGAGGTGGTTGTTTTAAGCATCTACCATTGTAACCTTTATTCCTCCATTGCAGATTGTTTTTTATCCAGTGATACAGCACGGAAACGGAGCCTTTGGTCCAACCAATCCATGCCAACCATAGCCCAAACTAAACTAGTCCCACTTGCCTGTGCTTGTCCCATATCCCTCCAAAGATTTCTTATTCATGTATCTATCCAAATGTCTTTTAAATGTTGTAACTGTATCCGCATCCACCACTTCCTCAGGAAATTCATTGGACACACAAACCATTCTCTGTGTAAAAAATAAAATAAAATTATCCTTCACGTCTTTTTAAAATCTTTCTCCTATTACCTTTTAAATATGCCCTATAGCGTTTGAAATCTCCCATCTCAGGGAAAAGACACCTGCCATTCACCTTATCTGTATCCCTCATGATTTTATAAACCTCTACAAGATCACCCCCCCGCAACTTCCTACGCTCCAGTGGAGAAAGCCCCACCCTGTGCAGCCTCTCCTTATGGTGCATACCCTTCATTCCCAGCAGCATCTTGGTAAATCTCTGCTGAGCCCTCTCTAGTTTAATGATATTCTTCCTATAACAGGGCAACCAGAACTGGACACAGTATTCCAGAAGAGGCCTCACCAATATCTTGTATAATCTCAAAACAACATCCCAACTCCTATACTCAAAGGTCTGAGCAATGAAAGCAAGCATGTTAAATGCCTTCTTAACCACCCTATCTATATATAAACTTCAAAGAATTGTGTACCTGAACTCCAAGGTCTCTCTATTCTACAACGCTACCAAAGGCCTACTTTTAATTGTATAAATCCTGCCCTTGTTTGTTTTACCAAAATCATAGATCATAGAATCCCTACAGTGTGGAAACAGGCCCTTCGGCCCAACAAGTCCATACCAACCCTCAGAGCATCCCACCTAGACCCATCGTCCATAACCCACCTAATCTACACATCCTTGGACACAATGGGCAATTTCCCATAGGCAATCCACCTAGCCTGCACATCTTTGGACTGTGGGAGGAAACTGGAGCACCCGGGGAAACCCACGCAGACACGGGGAGAATACGCAAACTCCACACAGATAGTCGCCCGAGGGTGGAATCGAATCCGGGTCCCTGGTGCTGTGAGGCAGCAGTGCTAACCATTGAGTCACCGTGCCGCCCCGGTTATGAGGGATGGGTCTGGGTGGGATGCTCTGAGGGTTGGTGCGGACCAAAGGGCCTGTTTCCACACTGTAGGTATTCTATAATTTCTATGATCAATGATTTTGGTAAAACAAATAAGGGCAGGATTTATACAATGCAATGCTTCGCATTTATCCAAATTAAACTCCAACTGCCATTCTTCAGCCCATTGACCCAATTGATCAAGATTTCTTTGTGATGTTAGATAACCTCCTTTGCTGTCCACTATACCACCAATTTCGGTGTCATCTGCAAACATACTAACCATGCCTTCTATATTCTCATCTAAATCATTTATATAAATGACAAACAAAAGTGGACCCAGCACCGATCCCTGTGGAGCACCGCTGTTCACAAACCTCCAGTCCAAAAAACAACCCTCCACCATCACTCTCTTTCTCCTGCCGTTAAGCCAATTTTGTATCCAATTGGCAATCTCACCCTGAATCCCATGTGATCTAACTTTACTAATTAGTCTATCATACGGAACCTTGTCAAAGGCTTTACTAAAGTCCAAATAAACAATGTCTACTGCTCTGCCCTCGTAAATCTTCTTGAGTACTTCCTCAAAAAACTCAAATCAAGTTTGTGAGACACGATTTCCCTCTCACAAAACCATGCTATCTCTAATAGTCTCCCAAATTCATATAAATCTTATCTTTCAGCGTTACCTGCAACAACTTCTCCACCACCGAACTCAGTTTCCAGGCTTCTTACATCCTATCTTAAACAAAGGCACAACATTAGCCACTCTCCAGGCATCTGGCACCTCACCCGTAGTTATGGATGATACAGATGTTTCTGCAAGAGGCCCTGCAATTTCCTCCTTAACTTCCCACAATGTTCTGGGATGCTCTAGATCAGGTCTTGGAGATTTATCCAGTTTTATGTTTCCTAAGACCTCCAGCACTGCTCTTTTTTTTAATGTGAACTGTTTTCAAAACATCATTTCGTTTATTTATTTATTCTTTCATGGGATATGAGCATCACTAGCAAGCACAGGATTTGAATTGCCCGTACCTAATTGGCCTTGAACTGAGTAGCTCACTATACCATTTCAGAGCACATTTAAGAGTCAACCACATTGCTGTGGATCTAAAGTCACATATAGGCCATAATGTGTAAGAGTGGCAAACTTCATTCCCTACAGGACATTAGTGAAGCAGATGAGTGTTTTTGGTAATTGATGCTACTTGTAGTGGTGATTAGCTTTATGGTTTTATTAATTATTAATTGAGTTTATATTTCTCCAGCTGCTGTGGCGGAATTTCAACCAAAGTCCCCAAAGCTATAGTCTGGGGACTCTGGATTACTAGACCATGATAGTTCTAATTGTCACTCGACCTTAAACAGTTCTGTCCACAGGTGCTGCCAGACCTGTTGATCTTTTAAGGCAATTTGTGTTTTTGTTTCTGAGTTACAGCATCCGCAGTTCTTTCGGTTTTTACATTACCATGATACTTCTGTCTTACCCCATTGTTGCTGTTAACCAAGTTGTTGCTGTAGTTCTTTCCCCCTTTCTAACTAGTTTCTTTGTATAACACAGGTGAAGCAGGTCCAGGATGATGCTGCCCGGCTGCGGTCAGCCTACGCTGGTGAGAAGGCCGAGGACATCCAGCGACACGAGGATACTGTTGTGGAGGCATGGAATGCCCTCCTTAATGCCAGCAAAGGGCGCAAACAACTTCTGTCAGACACAGTCGAAAAATTCCGCTTCTTCAACCTTGTACGAGCCCTCATGCTGTGGATGGACGACGTCAACAGGCAAATGGATACCCAAGAGAAGCCAAGGTAGTCTTACCAACTGCTGTATTCCAAAGAACGGTGGGCAACTTGCGTTTCTCTTGGAAAGGCAGGCTGTGAGCTCCCCACATGACAGAAAGGATTTATTCAGTGAAATTAGATAGAAACAGACTTTTCGGCCCATGTGCCATTGCTCATGCTTCGTGGTACCCTCACAGTAACCCATCTGATCAGCATATCTATCTATTCATTTCTTCCTTGTGTGTTTATCTAGCTTCCCCTTAAAGGCATCTGTGCTGTTCACCTCAGCCTCTCCATGTAGTAGTGAGTTCCTCATTAAGTTTAATTTCGTACTTGTATTTGGCCACCTTACTTTAACACAAGTGGTTGCAGTGTAATCTGTTTTAACGATGTTGTGCTTTGAGGCCCAGATCAGTAAAGGACCTTTATGGTGTCAGCAGACACACTCAGTGTGTTACTCAGAAACTGCTGCCTCTCTTCTGTGATCATTAAAATGAAAGTCCTGTCCTGCCAGTTTGGCGGAAGCTAAAGATGCCTTGGCAGTATTCAAACAACAGTGAGGTGTGATGTCAAAAGACATTTTTTCACTCACCAAGGACTATTTGTTGCATTACATGAACCAGGAAGGTGCTACAGTTGGCCATTAGTTGATGGTAATGCAGTAGGGCTAGAAAAGCTATGTAGATAATTCCATTTGCTACCCTGTTAGAGAATGAATCGCTAAAAGAGAAGAAAGCCAGGCAGCACAGTAGCTGGGTGATTAGTACTGCTGCCTCACAGCGCCAGGGACCTGGGTTCAATTCCACCCTCGGGCGACTGATTGTGTGGATTTGCACATTCTCCCCGTGACTGCATGGGTTTCCTCCCACAAGATGTACCGGTTAGGTGGATTGGCCATGTTAAATTGCCCATAGTGTCCGGGATTGTGTAGCTTAGGTGGATTAGCCACGGATAGCAGGGTTACAGGAATAGGGTAGAGAGTTGGGTCGAGGTGGGATGCTCTTCGGAGGGTTAATGGAGACCTGATGGGCTGAAGGGTTTGGTTCCACACTGTAGTGATTCTCTGATGCTATGAAAACCAGATGGAGGCTCTATTGAGCCCTTGAGAGGGAGAGACAATCAACAGGCTGCTAGGGATAAGGTGCAGCAAGAAAGGATTTAAGTTGGGGTGGACGTCATGGCATTGATGTAAGTTACCATGATTTGAGGATGGACCAAAACCAGGAAGTACCTCTCCTCCTGCTGGCAACGCCACTGGGAATTTCCACCTCTGTTTTAGGGATAGCAGCCTTGGTGGTTAAAATAATAGCTCAATGCCTGTTCTGCCAATTGTTCCCTTGTAGGGATGTCTCTTCAGCAGATCTAACCATCAAGAACCATCAGGGGATCAAGTCCGAAATCGATGCCCGGGATGACAGCTTTACTGCAAGCATTGAAATGGGCAATGCCCTCCTGGCCAAGAACCACTATGCTTCAGAAGAGGTACTGTTTTCCAAGGTTGTGAGCTCTGTTAGGGTGTTTATTTCATTGATTTTGTTTTCATCATTATTCCACTGATATAGTTGTAATGGAAACAAAAGACGACAGTTATACAGTATAACAGAATTATTCAAATCCTGAAGTTTGTACTGATACGAGTGATAATAGACTGCTTACTGTTAGTCACGCCCTAATTAATACACACATCATGAATACAAACTTCAAAATAATCCTTGCTTCCCTCGAGCAAGAAACAATCTCTTTTCTACTGCAGTGTGAAAGAGTAAAGTTCAAAGTTATCTGAGAGACAAATCGATTTAATGCAAATGGCCATTTTGTGTTCAAGACAATGTTGTTCAGGGTTCTTTTTCCTGTTCTGTTAGATTGCAGAGAAGCTGACCCAGCTCCAGGAAAGGAGGAGAGAAATCAATAATAAATGGAAGGAAAAGGAAGACTGGTTGCAGCTGGGTGAGAATACTGAACTATGTACTTGAAGTAGTCAGTGGGAAATGTCTGCTACAGATTGACAAACACATATCTTGGCACATTGTCTGTATACTGTTGTGTTTATTGAAGAATGATAATTCTGCAGTGCAAAACCGCCTCTCATCTTGCAGTAAACTCAGAAACTGTGCATGAAATTACTGTCCTGTTACCTTTGAGGAGTGACCAAGACATCAACATGACTAATCCAGAATGATAGGTGGAAGTCTGCTGGCTATAAGACTCCTGAGAGAAATAAGTTGGTATAGCCTCAGCTTAATTCCGGCTGATGACATAAAACTGTTCGCAGTTTTTTTGATTTCATAGATTTCCATAGAGTATACAGCAAGAAACACAAAATTCAGACTACTGGTCTGTGCTAGTATTTGTGCGTCACTCTAGCTTTCTTTATCCAACTTCATCTAACCCTTTGACCCAGGGCCACTACGTCGTTGCTTTGATGTAGAAGCTGGCTTGCATTTTCAGTTTTAAAATCATTTGACACAATGCAGATGGAGGCCATTTGGCCCATTATGTCTGTACCAGCTCTGGCTGAATTTTGGAATGAGTTGTGTTTGCTTTATCTTTCCCATAGCCTTGAAATGTTTATTCCCCTCATGCATTTGTCCAGTTCCCTTTTTAAAACTACCGTTGAATCTACTACAATCACAATTTTCAGCACACTCCAAATCATCACAAATTGCCGTGTCTTTTTTTAAAATGTTTTCTTATTTGTTGCCTCCGGTTCATTTGCTAATCACCTTTCAGACGTGATGTCACTTTGCACTTTAAGTAAATGCAGTACCTGTCCCAGGTATATCTCCAAATAGGGGAGGTGATGGCCTATCACTAGATTATTATTTGGGTTCGAATCCTGCCGTGATAAATGGCGGAATTTGAATTCAGTAAAAATAAAATCTGGAATTAAGAGCTAAAGATGACCACAAAACCAATGTTGACTGTTGGGGAAAATCCATGTGGTTCACTGATGCCCTTCAGAGAAGGAAACGGCCACTCTTACCTTATCTGGTCTATATGTGACTCCAGACCCACAGCAATGTGGTTGACTCTTACAACTGCCCTCTGATGGGCAATGAATGCTGACCTAACCAGCGATGCTCTCATCCTGTAAATGAATAAAAAAAAGTGTAATTGGGTAAATCATTAAATAAAATTAGATTCAATTAAATCAAATCAATTAAATCATTCATTGGCCAATTGAAGCAAATCTTATTAAATTTTCTTCAGCCTGTTGATGATAATACTCATTGAGTTTGAGCTGGTAAAACTGTCATCTCTCTCTCTCTTTCTCTGTTTAACGCCTCCTCCTTCCCCATTCCCACACCCAATCCCCAGTAATGGAAGTGCTGCAGTTTGGTAGGGATGCAACAGTTGCTGAGGCCTGGCTAGCAACCCAGGAGCCGTACGTCAGAGCAGCTGACATAGGAAGTAACGTCGATGATGCCGAGAGCCTGATCAAACGCCATGAAGAGTTTGAAAAGTCAGCTGCTGCATGGGAAGAGCGTTTCCTGGCCCTGGAGAAACTGACAACAGTGAGTGCCATACTATTTTCCTTCTCGTTTTCTCCCCAGTGTCTACCTCACCTTTATTTCCACCTACCAGCACATCCTCCTGCTCCTTCCTTTCTGTTCTTCCCCTCAGATAGTTATGGTATAGCAAGTTCCACCTTCTGTCCATATCCTGGGTAAATAATTTTTTCCTTTTTTGGATTGATGAGTGACTATCTTGGATCTAGGCTCCCTAGAAGCGTTCTCCCCTAGAAACAGAAATATTTTCTGCTACATTAACCCTATCATGCTGCGTAATTAGTGACAGCAGACTACTTAACTGTACACCATCACGCAGAGGCATGATCCTATCCATGTTTAAAATCTACATGTGTGCACTTCAAAGCAGATGGTTATTAGATGTCAGTCAGAGTTGGGAACCTTGGCTGATTTCTTCCCTTTTTAGACCATAGGTTTCCAGCCATTTGTGGATAGTTCTTGCCTTGTCAGAGGTGATGGCCTAGTAATATTATCGCTGGAGAGGAAATCTAGGGATCCAGTAATGTTCTGGGGACCCAGGTTCGAATCCTGCCAAGCAGATGGTAGAATTCGAATTCAATAAAAATAAAATCTGGGATTAAGAGCCTAATGATGACCGTAGAACATTGCCAACTGTCAGGAAACACCCATCTGGTTCACCGCTGTCCTTTAGGGCAGGAAATTGCCTTCTTCACCTGGTCCGGCCTACATGTGACTCCAGACCCAGAGCAATGTCGTTGACTCTCAACTGCCCTCTCGGCAATTAGGGATGGGCAATAAATGCTGGCATAGCTAGCGATGCCCTCATCCTGTGAATGAATGTAAAAACTGTCATCTTGCCTTGTCAGAGATCACTAACTTGGCACAAAGGGACGTAGTCTCCATGCTGCTCAGTATCATAAAGAAAACTTCGCTTTTTCTATCTTTGGTTCTGCCATCAAATGACATGAATATAACTATTATTATTCACATTTGTTAATCAATGGAAAATAGTCGGTCAAATGTATTTTTGTGAAGAAGTGGCACCCTTTTCATAGGTTCATACAAAGTGTACAGCACACACAAAGACCACTTGGCCCATTATGTTTGCACTACCCAAGAAACAAGCCACCCAGCCGAATCCCACTTTGCACCATTTGGACCATACCCTTGCAGATAACAGCACAAGGCATGTTTCCAGGCAATATTTAAATGAGCAGTGAATTCCAGATTCCTGCCACCCTCTGGGTGAAAAACAAGTTCTTCATTTCCCTTCTAACTTTTCTATCAGTCACTTTAAATCTGTGACCTCTTATCACAGACCTCTATGCAAAGATAAAAAGGCCCATTCCATCCACTTTATTCAGGCACCTCACAATTTTGTACATCTCAATCAAACGTCCCCTCAGTCTATTCTGTTCTGAGAAAAATGACCTCAGCCTTTCCGATCTTGCCTCATAATGGCATTTTTCCAGTCCTGACAACATCTTCCAAAATCTCCTCTATGTCCTGTCTGGTGCAATTACATCCTTTCTGTAATGGGGTAACCAGAACTGCACACAGTACACGAGTTGTGGGGCCTAACTCATGATTTATACACTTGCAGCATAATCTCTATTCTCTTGCATTGTACCTCGACTAATAAAGGCAAGGATTCCATATGACTTTGTAACCACTTTGTCGACCGGTCCTGGTACATTCAGGGATCTGTGGGCATTCACTCATTTTGCACTGTTCAGCATTACAGAAGCTGGATGTGTAAGCAAAAAATGACACTGGCAAACCCAGAATCACCACACTGGGACAGCTGCAGGGGAACTTCAGGGGAGGGTAGGAAAGCACAGTTGAGGCAGAAGATGAGCCATGATCTTATTGAATGATGGGACCTGTTTAATGTGGTGTAGCATTTTCCTTCTGTTCTTCCCAGGGATTTGGAGTTGTGCACCTTAACTGCAAACCCCAAACTGCTCTGCAAACGCCTTGGTCAAAAACTGCATGTTGGAGCATGACAAGGTTTGGAAGCCAAGTAGCAAAGCGGAAAGAGCAAATCTTAACACCATTAGATTGTCCCTCCTCTGGGAGGTTTTCCAAACTGTCAGGTGTGCATGACAAATAAAGCATAACGTACACCTCTGCTACAGGATGCCTTGTTTCATCTTTTGTTGCAGCTGGAGCAACAAGAAATCCGCCGTAAACAGGAGGAGGAGGAGGAGGAGAGAAAGCGAAAGCCACCTCCGCCACCCTCGCCCCCCATACCGCACGTCTCCGTGACAACAGAAGATGATGCGGAGGCTATGAGTCGGGCGCAGCAGAATGAATTGGCACGGTAACAGTACCCACCAGTTAGGTCTTTAGCAGAGGGATAAAGTCCCATCAAATTTGGACCAAGCGAGGTCCTACTTAAAAGGAAGAACACAGCAGGTCAGGCAGCATCAGAGGAGCAGGAAAGTTGACATTTCGGGTTTACACCCTTCATCAGGACGGGGCGGGATGGAAGGTGGAAGGGAGCCTGATGGATTCAACATACAATTCACCAGTTTCAAAATCTCCCCACCCCCAGCCTCATCCAACCCTCCCTCTCATCCCCACCTCCTTGACCTGACACAACCTGTCCATCTTCTTTTTCACCTATCCGCCCCCACCCTTACCATTGACCAATGTCCGCTATCCCCTACCTGGATCCACCTAGCATCATCCCACCTACCTTATCCCAGCCCCATCACCCCAACTCCTCCCCAGTCCTGATGAAGGGTGTAAACCCGAAACGTCGACTTCCCTGCTCCTCTGATGCTGCCTGGCCTGCTGTGTTCCTCCAGCTCCACACTGCATTGACTCTGACTCCAGCATCTGCAGTCCTTGCTATCACCAATTTAGATATCATGGCTTCCAAATTACTTCATGTACTGTCGGCTAAGTAACCAAACTCATTAAAGGCTTGCTGCTGCACAGTTCCTTTGAAGTCGTGAATGCAACTTTGAAGTAAAAGGATGCAGGAAAATGATCACACATACGTGCACTAAGTTAGCAAGCATTTGTGATTTTATCATTCAAGCCTGGACTGTTTCTGATGTCAGTGGGGAGGAATACATGCAGGCAGCAGTAGTGAAAGAGCATTAATGCCCTCTGCTGGTCGACTGAAAGCTAACCACCTACAACCAAGATGTAGGTTGTTCTGCTACAAGTGCCCACCATGCTTTACTGACAAGGGTACCTACAGACAGGTTCAAGTGTTTTGCAAAGACTCCCTCTTCAGCCTTTCCTGGAACAGCCCTGAAAACTAAAATGGGTATTATGCATGTTTGGTGTGATCTAATAATCTGGTAACTCGGTTAAAGAACATTTTAATAAGATTTGTGCACTGCCACATGTCCCAGTCTCCTGATGCAATGTATCAACATGACTGAGAGACCAGGCAGGCTGCTTAATCCCAGGCCTATGTGATTCTTAGTGTCTCAGCTGCTCCCAGCACATTTAGAAGCATTGTCTGCAATGACCACCCCTTTATGTTTTATAACTTCCTAATTTTTAAGAGGTTTTATAACCTCTTAACCTCTCAGGTGTTTCTGTCATGCTTTCAAATGCAGAGACTGAATTTGAATCCAAGCTGATGGGAAGGAAATATGTTCAGTCTTTATAGCCAAGAGGTCCCGATGTGTAATTACCAGCGTTAATGCTTAAAATTAGCAAACAGTTCACAGACACCCTTAAAGTATAAAAGCACACAATGTGCCTACAAAGTGTTCAAACAGCTAGTTTTTTTTTTGTAAAGATGCCAGCACGTGGAAGAGTATTTTGCAGCATCAGTAAAAAATGATGTGGAACCGGTACACTCTCACCAGAAATGTCTTTCACCTTTTACTGTCATTGATTTGGGTTTTTTTTTCTAACTTTCAGGGGTGGTGAGATAGTGAATCACTTGGAAACTATCGCTCAGAATGGAGTGCGCTCAGACATGGAGTCACCACAGGTGAGTTATAAAACTCTCCTCTGTTAAACACTTGTGGGATTTCTTGTCCATGCAAGGCAGCACTGGGGCATTGAGAGTGTACAGTTTGCATCATTAGGACCGATGTGCTCAGCAGTACGCAACAGGGACCACATGGAAGCTCCAAGTGCAGCTCCCTCTGTGGCTTCTCCCGTCCCTGTCTTTGTGACCTACTCCAAAACTTTGTAAACCAGAGATCCCAGCACTCCTCCAGTTCTGGCCTCGTGCACATCCCCAGTTTTAAACCATCCTCCATTGAGCACTGTACCTTCAGTAGCCCAGACCTTAAGCTCTGCAGTTCCCTCCTTAACTTCTTCGCCTTTCTTTCCTCATTTATGCCACACCTACATGACCAAACTTTTGGTCACCTCTGCAAATGTGCCTTTTATATCACTCTGTATCAAGTTCTGTCTGCTAATGTTCCTATGGGGTGCCATTGCCCAAATCACAACATGAAAAATCCAGTATTAAAACATTGAGGTACAGAGTTGAACCTTGAGGTTATTGCTGGTTGTGTCTGCATAGCTAAAATCTCTCTGACCTTTCTTGGTTGAATATTCAATTGTTGTTGCACATGTAACCACAACCTTCAACTGACAAGACTTTGTTCATTTCATAACACACTTTTCCTTGGTTATAATGGGTGTCGCTCCATTCTTTCAGCCTTTGGAAGATATCAGACAGTTGAAAGATGGTGTTGCTTCATCTGTGACTGTGACTGTAAGTGCTTTCTGCTTTCTGCTTCCTGCTGCTTTTTCTTCCTGATGTTCTTTCATTTTGCCTCTGCTATATACACTGCTGATATGAAAGATTGAACTGGCTGAAGCTCTTTTCTCCAGGAATACTGAGATGGTGACCCAGTAGAGATCTTCAAAGCTTTTAGAGCTTGTTAGGGTAAGCTTAGAGTTGGTGTTTCCATCATCGGAGCATTCAAAACCAAGGGCTCCAATTGTAAGATGATCACGAATGAATCCGGTAATGAAGCATGCAAAATTATTACAGGGCTTAACAGGTAGATGCAGGAAAAATGTCTCCTTTGACTGGTGGGGTCCAGAACCCGGGGACGCAGTCTCAAAATAAGGGGCAGCCTGTTTACAACTGATATGAGAAAGAATTCCTTCGCTGAGGTTAATCTTTGGAACTCTCTATCCCAGAGGACTATGGGTGCTCATTCGTTGAGTATGTTCAGTACAGACAGCGATAAATTTCTAGATCTTAAAAATGCTAAGGGAGTAGGGGATTATGCAGGAAGCTCTCATTGAGATAGAAGATCAGCCATGATGTAGTTGAATGGTGGAGCAGGCTTGAGGGTCTGCATGGCCTACTATGTTTAATAAGGAATGCAAGAGAATCTTCTTTGCCCACTCTTCCCTATAAGTTTCATAACGGCACATTAACTGTAACTTCCCATGTGAGCTGACCACTAGTTGAAGTTCCTACTTATGCACAGCCACTTAAATAAGTTACCCACATACTTGAAACAAAAAAAGTGAATGTTGGTGGTGAGAATGTGGAACCCCAAACTGAGGTGTAGCTGACCCAAATGACATAGATGCATTTAAGAGGAAGCTGAATTAACAGATAAGAAAGAAGAATAGAAGGCTATATGGACAGGGAGAGATGAATGAAGGAGGGTGGATGGGAGATACTAGCAGGTGTACTCCTTGGGCTACAAACGTACTTTTTCCTCAGTAAAGGGGTTACATCAGTGGCTGTTTCTGTTATAAATGTGGACATGGTATTTTAAGTTTGAAATGTCAACTTTAAGACAGAATGAATAATTTTAAAAGGAGTGCTGAGTAATGAATGTATATCCTGGTCTTTTTATATCATACCCTCTAACCCTTCAACAAAGCTGAATTTTTTTTATTAATGGGTTGAAGGTTAATGAGGATTAATGGCAGCATTTATTGCCCATCCCAAATTGCCCAGAGGACAGTTAAGAGTCAACCACATTGCTGTGGGTCTGGACTCACATGTAGGCCAGACAGGGTAAGGAAAACTGGTTTCCTTCCCTAAAGGACATTAATGAACCAGGTGGGTATTCATGATAATCAACAGTGGTTACACAGTCGCCACTGGACTAACTTTAAATTCCAGACTTTTATTGAATTCAAATGTCACCATTTACCAAGGTGGTATTTGAGCCTGTATCCCCAGAACATTAGCCTGGACTTCTGAATCAATAGCCCGTTGACATTATCACTGCACCAGTGTCTTTTATTACAAGTGCTTGCTTAAAATTCATACTCCCTGTAAACATTTCACACTTGCTGCCTCAATTTGTGGACTGGCTTAAAACAAGGGAACTAAGCAGGATTGTAGGAAAAAGAAACAATGAACCAAAGGCGAATTAAGTTTCTGAGAAAATCAATGACTGTAGCTGGAGAATCAAATGCTTCGCTCCACAGGGTTTGATTTTCTTATCTTAAAAGTGGAAAACCTTTTCTTTGTTTAATTATTATAGTTTTGACACCAACGAAGGTGTTGTGATTTTGGGTTTTCTTTTTCTCTGTTCTGGTCAATCCTGATTGTTTCCATGCAGTTGCTCACCAGATGGTGATCTCAGCTGATGAAACCCACAGCCCTTTCAAGCTGCTGTCCCAAACCAATTGCAGGTTCCTGGGACTGGTTGAATAACACTTCAGCTGCAGTGCAGAGCCTCGGTGTCCATAGGTAGCAATCATGCCATCAATCCTGCCAGAATCACTTTGAACCATATTACGTAGAGAATCGGTATGGCTGTGTGCCCAAGTCATGCATGCACCAGCCTTTTTATTTAAAAATGGATTATTTAATGCATTTGGGCACCTTGATGTGCAGTTTCTCCATATAGAATGAGAATGAAGGTAATTCAAAAGCCTAGGTCACCAAAAAAGCTTCCAGAAGTGAGATTGTTGCCAAGTTTTCACATCTCAGATTTTTCTTCAAGCAGTAGATTTTTTTTCTGCTTCTTCTTGACTTCTGTATTTCTCGGTTTACTTGTCAGTATTTTCCTTCATTTTTTTTCTTGCTGCTGGCATTTAAAAAGACACCGTGTAAATTGCTGTGGAAAGACCTTTCTTTTGGGTTTTCTGGCAGAGTCAATACTAAAAAGGAGTTCAATAAATGCAGGTTCAGTGGCCACCTGAATGGCTTTGGATGTGCTCATTATGTACAGTATGTAGTGCCTTTGGGGACCGCTTGTGGTATGTAGTAGTGTTTCTATCCCTGGACCAGGAAGCCCGTTATCAAGTCCCACCTGCTGTAGACATGTGTAATTACATTTCTGAACAGGTTCATTAGAAAAATAGATTAAATAAAAAAGAGTGCCTTTAGAGCCCTCTTGTGGCACAGAGGTAGTGTCCCTGCCCCTGGACAGAGAGACCCAGGTTCAAATCCCTCTTGCTCCAGCAACATGTAATAACATCTCTGAACAGGTTAATTAGAAAATAGGTTAATGCTAAAAAAAACTGTAGTACCTGTAGATAGCTGCAGGTGTAAGTTTTCCATGTCATTCTGACAGAGGTATTTAATTTTCTTTTAAAACTTTGTTCACGTGGAAGTCCCTGGCGTGGCTAATTGCCCTCCATTTCAGAGGTATTTAAGAGCTTGACCACATTTCTGTGGATTTGGAGGCCTGGTTAAGGATAGCAGACATCCTTTCAAAAAGGACTTCAGTGAACTAGATGGGTTATTATGACAATCAGTGGTAGTTTCATAGTCACTATTTCTGCAACTAACTTTATATTCCAGATTTTATTTACTGAGTTTGAAGTCCCCCAGTTTCGTGGTGGGATTTAAATCTGTGTCCCCAGATCATTAGCCTGGGCCTCTGAATTTCTGATCCACTGACATTACACTGCAGTTCCATCACCCTAATTGCCCTTGAGAAGGTGTTGATGAATTGCTTTCTTGAGCCATTACAGATTGTACATAGTGTTGCTTTCTTGCTACCTGAGCTTTCTAAGCCTGGGGGAGGACTCTCAATCTGGAAAACACAGAGGTTATCATGTATACAGTTTCAATTAGTATCCTAAATTTTACCCAATCCAGCAGTCTGAACTGGTAACGTAGCCCTGCATCTTGGAACAGCTTACTGCTGAAGTTCAGTTTCTGGCAAAAATCAGACTAAAGAACACGCACAAGGAGGGCTTAGCTTTGTCTCTTTCCAAATCTCACATTTCTCCAAAAACGTTGTTGTAATACAATTAACAGCAGTTCATACAGCAGTGCAATAAACCTTCAGAATCTGCAGTTACGAATTTACCGCCCTCATTTTGACTTTTGCTAGGTTGAGTGACAACCTCCAGTACCATAACATTTATTTACCCTTTTGAGCCTAAATAATGATTGGTATTTGATGTTAGAAATCATATTGGACCTTTATTATTCTGAGCTCAGTTCCTAGTGGACATGTCCCTATATTGATACAAATTCATAATTTCATGCAGAGGGCACAAATAATTTGAGAACTAGAAACAAAAACTGGACCTCCCCTAGGAGTGTTTGATGGGGACAGTACAGTTGGAGCTTTACTCTGTATCTAACTCCGTGCTGTATCTATCCTGGGAGTGTTTTTATGGGGATGATGTAGAGACAGCCTTTCTCTGTATTTAACCCCCATGTTGCACCTGTCCTGGAGTGTTTGATGGGGCAAGTGTAGAGGGAGCTTCACTCTGTATCTAATTCTGTGCTGTACCTACCCTTGGAGTGTTCTGTGGAGGGAACTTCAATTATTTCGTATTTAATTTGGCACTAATTCGTCATTTAACATAGAGACCACAGATAATTTCAGAATTAGACAAAGGTTACTGTTCTGTACCTGCCTTGGGATTTTTAAAATTTGATTGCTTTGTTTCCTGCTGTACACAAAATTCACACAAAATAAGTTTGCAATATTTTACACACAGAGTGGTGGGCGTGAAATACGCTGCCGGCAGTGGTAGTGTAGTCAGATACTTTAGAGACTTTTAAGCAACTCTTGGATAGGCACATGGAGGTTAGTGAAATGCAGGGTAGTTTGATCTTAGTACGATAATAGGTCGGCACAACATTTTGGGCTGAAGAGCCTGTGCTGTGCTGTACTGTACTGTTCTATGTTCTCTGTAAGGTATACTATCAAACAATAACCTGAGCCCACACAGCCTGGTATCTCTTTGACCTATATAATGGTGGATCACTGATGAACATAAAGTAAGTTATTTAAAAATTCAATGGGAGATAAGAACCTTGTATTATTCTTTAGGCAGAGATCTGCAACTTTAATTGGCATTCTGATGGCAGATTTGCCCCGATCCCAGGTCTGATGCTTTTACCATTTTCCCCAGGTCAGTGAAGCATCAGAACCCATTAATGGGACAAGCGCAGCCCCGGAAGCAAAAGGGGACCACAGTCCTGTCAAGAAGACACCGCAATCATCTCCACGCCCAGGGTCTGTTGGCACCCTTCTCAGCAAGACACAGGACACAGCTACTATACAGCTCGAGGGCATTTTATGTCGTAAGCATGAATGGGAGTCACACAGCAAGAAAGCCTCTAGCAGGTAAGAGGCCAGTGAGGGCAAGAACAGGCATATTCTAACAGATACGCTGCCATTTCCCTCCCAGTAGCATTGAGAGAATATTCATGTCATTATTTGTGTGTCTACAGCTTATCACAATACTGTCTTACTAACGCTCGTCACTTCCTGCTACATTCTAATATCTCTCATTCACGGGCATTCTGATATTGCACAACCTTTTCACACCTATGGAATTATGAAGTTCCATAGCCTCTCAAAAGAATTAGTGCACTACAACGTTTAGTGTAATAAGCTTCTCAAGAGAAATCAACTAGTTATTGCAGTTTATAATGCATTATAGAAACTACATATACTTTATAACTTAGACGTCCATACTTGTTTGTGTGATTATTTCTCTGAATTTTCACAAACTAAACATGCATTTGTACAGGCATGTACTAAACATCTGCACCAACTCCTGCCCCGTCTACCTCCATCTTCCTCCTACCTCATGTAGTTTCATGGATATCTCCACGACTCTTCTTTGTCAGCGTGCAGTTCACAGCGCATCTGTATTATGTAGTTGTTGGCTGCTGCAGGCTGCTTCTGATATGAGCGAGTGTCCTGACTGTGGGGTTGTTCTACTGGTAGATCATGGCAAAATGTGTACTGTGTACTGAGGAACCGGACTCTTGGCTTCTACAAAGATGCGAAGAATGCTAGCACTGGCATCCCATACCATGGAGAGATTCCAGTTAGCTTGACAGATGCCAAGTGTGAAGTGGCACATGATTATAAGAAGAGAAAAAATGTCTTCAAACTCAGGTAAAGTTTATGCCATACTTATGAGTGTCGCAGAGGACTCGCGTTCACCTGTGTGTCATCTTAAGTTGTGATGTATGATATAAGATGAGCTCTTCCTCAGCTGCAGAATAGATTGATACAGCTCAAGGAGGCCATTTGGTTCATGCCTTTGTTGACTGTTTGTAGGAAGAATCCAGTGAACCCCATTCTTTCCTCCGTGATCAGCAAATTGTTCCTCATCCGCATTTCTTCTGTTTCTTTCTCCCAAAATGATTATTTAATTTGTTTTCACTGCTCTTTCAGGTCATCATAATGCACTTTTTTTCCCCAAGAAATCCTCCTGTCTCTGATTCCTTTACCAGCTACTTGAAGTCTGTTTCCTCTGGTTCCCGACTCTTCTGTCACAGACATTGATTTCTTCTTGTTGTCTTATTAACCCTTTCAAGATTTTAAACACCTCTATTAAATTTGTCCTCAGCTTTCAGCTCTGAGGAGAATAGTCACAGCTACTCTCACCTTTCCATATAACTGAAAAATCACATGCCAGGTGCATCTTGTTAAATCTCCTCTAAACTTTCCCTAAAACCTTGACATCCTATTTAACTTATGGTGCCCGGATGAGCACTTCAGCTGAGGCCGAAATGATGGGCACTGGAGGAAAGATGGGCAGCGTGTCGGATCAGTGGTTAGCACAGCAGCCTGACAGTGCCAGAGACCTTGGGTGACTGTCTATGTGGAGTTTGCACATTGTCCCCCCGTGTCTGCGTGGGTTTGCTCCAGAAGCTTCCGTTTCCTCCCACAGTCCAAAGATGTTCAGGTTAGGTGGATTGGCTGTGCCAAATTACCCATGGTGTTCAGGGATGTGTAGGTGGATTAGCCGTGGGAAATCCAGGATTAGTGGGATACAGTGAAGGGTGGATCTTGGTGGGATGCTCTTCAGAGGGTGGGTGTGGACTCAATGGGCCAAGTGGTCTGCTTCCACTCTGTAGAGATTCCATGATTCTCTGATTGTATTATGTTCTGAAGTGGGGAAAATGTTATCAGAAGAAAAATTACCAAAATGGAGATTTAAAAAACCTACTACTGTCTCTGGACTGACCTCAACATTAATCCCCAAACATGCTGAAATTATGAAAGGTCACTGTGTCAGCTGTAATAGGTGACAAAGTGTGCTTCATGAGGTCAAAGTTGTGATTAAATGGTGCAGGATTATGAATGATATTGCCGCTGTTCACGCTAAAGTGATTACTCAATAAGTTTATTTTTGATTGTAGACTCAGCGACGGGAAGGAATTCCTATTCCAGGCAAAGGATGAGGTAAGTGCCAGCCTGTTTGCAGTTTGATGGAAACAGAGGCAATGACTGAACCCTGAATGTTACTGAATACACGTGGAGAACTGGGCATCTTTTAACTCTTATCCCACTAAATAAATGTGAACACTACACGTCTATAAAATATGACATTTTGTTAGTCCTTTCCCCGAGGGACTTGGGCAGGATGAAAGTGCATGTAGATGCAATAGATCAAATACTAACATCTTAACTCTGGATCCTGGGTTCAAATCCAGCCCAAATCAAAGGAAATTTCAGTTAGCTTGGGTGGCTGGTTTGTGATTGTAGAGTAATGCCAACAGTTTGAGTTCATTTCCTGCACTGTCTTAGGTTACCATGAAACGCTCTCTCTCTCATCCTTTCCCCTTGCCTGACGAGTGGTGACCCTCAGGTTAAAACCAGTGCAAGTTGTCTCTCTGTAATGAATTAGGTCTTATGGTCTGGTAAAGCTATGGTGACGTTACTCCACTGCCTATCTGCACATGAGCATCATAGTTAAATTACCTGCCAATATTCGCTCCCTGACATCTCACAAAGATAGAGACTGCTAGGATAATTTATGAATGTCCATACAACTACAGTTGAGCAAGAGGTGAGGACAGCACTGGACCAGAGTATGTGAAGTGTATTGCTCATATTTATCTGGACATGTTTTGCAGGCTGAAATGAGCAGCTGGATTGATGGAATCACCACGTCCATCACCACCAGTTCCACTAAACAAGATGACCGCTATCCTGCCAATCCACAGGGCCTCACTCGTGCAATGACGATGCCTCCTATATCTCCCAACAGTGGTGATACAGTCACTATGCGGCGGGACAAGGACGGAAAGGAGAAAGATCGAGAGAAGAGGTTCAGTTTCTTCAAGAAGAAATAGGAAATGATTCAAAAGCTGCAGAGATTTTTTTAAAACAAAAGTCACCACACGTTCCACATTCGTACATCATTCCAGTCGATTCCAGCTTGTTTTTCCGAATGACTCTGTGCCTGACATTCCCGGGGCATGGGAGGGGGATATATTAAAAAAAACAAACTCCGTTTTATCAATGGGGAAAACAAAATACCAACACTTCAGGAACGGTTAGTGGGACATTTTTAAGAACTGAAACAAGAATCACAAGCAATCAGGTCTCGATTAGTTTTAGGTTGTCAAGAGAGAGAGAGAGAAAATGCTGTAGCTGTTACCAGCACTGAAGTGTAAACTCTGTTGGCTGAGCTGAGAATGTTGGGTGCCTGCTTGGCTTTTCTGATGGTTTGAAGTGTGTTACTTTGGCTCTGCGGACTTTCTTTAACTATTGAAGGACAAACGGGCCCCCAAGCAAGAAGCATACTGTTAATTTGTCACTTCTTGCAGCTTGGTGAGGCAGTGTATCTGAACAGCTGCGAAAATGAAAGAAGAGTTGGAAATGTGTCTATTGTGAGCAATCACCACCTATACCCTGCCTTGTGCAATTTAATTTTCTTTTCTTTCACATCTTCCCTCTCCCTTGTATGCACCTGTCCCTTACACACTGTTTACCAGGATGTAAGGAGATTGGACTGGGGGCATAGAGTGTCAAATAACTGCCTAAAGGGTGTGGGAGTAGTTAATTACAACATTAAAATATTTTGTATATTTATTGAAAACTGAAGATACTTAAAAAATGCAGGGAGAGGGACAGTGTAGAACATCAGGCCTAATTTTTGGAAGCTTTTACTTGTCCAAGTAAGTGGTTAGGTGGCATTTATCACAGCCACTCCTCCCTCGTCATCATCCTCCTCACACGTTCAAAACAAATCTACTGTTGATGTGAATAGGACTTCAACTTACCAAACTTTCTTTCTCTCTCGCAGACCTGTGCTGTAGCAGGTATTGGTATGAATGATTGTTTCAAAGGAACAAACGCACACACTCGCATGCACTCACACATGCACTCATTCCATACACTGTCTGTCATGTGCATACACACGCAACCGTACGCACAGATTATAGAAAGTGTCAAACATTTTATTTACCTAAGTGGTTGTAGTGAAAATTGTAGATTAATTCATTGTGGGTTACTTTTTCTCTTTTGTAGCTTTTTAAGTTTGAATTCCATTATTAAGTATCTCCCCTTATGCTTTACTGCCAAAGGGCCATTGGCAAAAGCAGCCTCTGTTGACCACCCAATTGAAACTGGATAATATCTCTGTAGCTTGTTATAGACGACGTTACAGAATGCTGGAGGTTGTTGGAGTATAGACCAGTGGTTATTGTTGTATTCCTGTTTATTAGGAGACAGAGCAACCTCTCCATCCCAGTAGATTTCTTATCACTTGACTCAATTCTCAACAGCCTCTGTGTTAGCTTTCGTTAACGTTTTAAGTTCACCTTGGGTCCCACTAACTCCTGTTTCCTTTTTTTTGTGTGTACTGCAATGCCTCCAGTGCTGCCCCTTTGCACCAGCCAACAGCTGGCTGCCCCAGCCAAAGCTATGAATTGGCTCGCGCCTCTCACATTTAGGAAGCAACTCATCAAGTTTGACCGGAGGAAGAGTAGGCAACAGGAGGTAGGAGAGACGTTAGGAAAGGTGAGTGAATGGTCAAACAGATAACTTGACGTGAAGGTTTCTAAAGGAGGACAAAGATAGGAAAATAGCTTCATGGTAGGCCACTGCCATTGTCAAGTGCTGTACTATGGAAGTAGGTGTGATGTAGTGCTCATGTAATCAGGGATCTCCTTGGAGTTCAATTGCTGAGTGTTTTTAAGTAAGTGTTGGGACTTTATTTTAGTAAACTCCCCCATGATCTGACTTGACACATGGAATCCAGGTGAAGAAAGAACCCAAAAAGGCATGATGTCGAAGGATGCAAAGGTTGAACTGATGTTAAAAATCAGTCAGCATGGGAACTTCAAAAAGACAAAGGATTGAGAATTTACTGGAAGCTCAAAAGAGAGAGGCTGCAGCAATGAAGGGGGGTATTCTGAGTTTGATAACTAAAAGCTCCTCTGGGAGACTGACAGGAGCTGCTAATAGTTGGGAGACCTTAATTGTGACAACTTAGTATCGACACAAAATGTTATTCAAAAATCGTGACAAGAAACCAAATCTTTCGAAGACGGAACAGCAACAGGCTTGAGAGTTGGAACATATTGTAGGCAAATGACACTAGTGCTAGAGTTCTTTTACACAATAAATTCCATTTGAAATATTTTTACAGTTAAAAGTTTAATAGTGGATTCTAAACTGGCCAGCTTTCCATCAAGATATCTGCAGCGCACAAACACCCAGGGAGGAAGTGGCAGAAACAGACCTCGTGGGGAGACTGCAGCAGGGTCACTGGCAGATGTTCTGTTGTGTTTCTCACTGTTCTGTGATAGCAATTTTGAATGACATTTTGCCACAGAGTCACGAGCAGCAACTGACTAACGTGGCAAATAACATGCGGTAAGTGGCCTTTTTGTCATGTATATGTGCAAATGCAGTTTGGTGATTTGCACCAAGTCCAATAGGTTTCCATGTGAAACACTGCATGCGCAATATTCTCGATTCATCTCCTCAGATTGTTCCCATTCACTAGTGACAATTCAACCAGTATGTCTTCCTAGTGCTTAGCAATTCATAATGCAAGTTTGAATTTTAGGGGTGAGTGTTTTATGCAGTTCAGTTGGGTACTGCATTTTGAATGCTGTTGATGTTCAGTTGTACTGAAGTCCTTGATGGCTTGATGTGAAATGTGGAATCTAGGGGAAATCTTTTGCAGGGATTAATGAGTAGTCAGCTTATCCTTGAAGGATGCAAGAGAAGAACACATCAGTTTCAACAATGTAAGAAAATGATTCAAGTCCTAAGTGTTCACCTTCCAAAATGAATCATCTCAGAAGTGGTTAACTTAGTGCCATTGTGGTGCTGCCAAGAGTACAGACTTTGTACACCCAGTGCCATTGTCTTATTGGGTTAGCCAAACCTATTTTACCAATTAACCTGCTAATCCAATTACACCACTCTGCCAATATATTGGCACAGCCATTGCACTAGTGATGTAGATTCATATCTAGGTTGTATTACCCAGCCTGTCTGAGTGGTGAGCACTTGAAACTGCTTTTGTGAGAGGATTCTTCTTTCCTCTTGTTCAAATCATTTTTGCTTTAGAAAATAAAAGTTGAGAAGTGGCTTAGTGGCTTGGCCCTGAATTTAGAAGGAACTGTACTTTCTTAGAAACTGGAGCAGAGCATTTCTAGTGGTTTGCGTAACACATGGACTAAGATCTCCATAAGCAATTTTGTAAAACATTGCTTATCAAAATTCAGCCCATCCTTTGCAAGTGAGGAACCTGAATCTCAAAAGTAGTTTTACAAATGAACACCAGAAGCAGAGATTACAGCCATTGTTCCTGCTAGTGCACACAAGAGTTAAGCCAATCTTGCTAATATTTTCAAATAGTGTTAGGGATGGAAAAATCAGCTGGGACTCGCCATCCACTGACCCCTGCTGGACAATGCGTGGGTGTTCGACAGAGTCTGTTAACTAGCCAGCTGTTTTTCAATTCAGACAGAATCACCAATCACTTAAGATGCTGGAGAGTACAGTTCCCTGGGGAGCTGAATCAACAACTCCACAAAGTGAGGTGAGGAAAAGGAGGAATGAAATGAGAAGATCCGTACCCAAGGAAAGAAGTGTCATTGGATCACCATTAGTAGCCAGAACGTTTTTATAATATCCAAACTGTATGTCAGAATTATAAGGATGTTGTGTGCTTTTCAATTAGTTTTATAATGCTTAATTCAGAAGTTATGTAGGTTGGGGAAATGGTTTATAAATTTGATTTTACTGGCAAGGGATTCAAGAACAATATAATGTTAGAAAAGGTTGGTATTGAGCTAAATAAAAATGGAAAATGATGACAAACTGCATTGTTGGCGATTTGAAATAAAAACAGAAGGTGCACAGCAGATCTCATGGACTCACAAAAAGTCTGATTGAATTCATCCGTTGTTTCTCCTTAAGAAGCCAACTGACTTCCACATTTTTGGTTGTGATGATGAGTTGTGGCTTTAGAACAAAGCTTCACCTTATCCCTATATTAATCAGGTTTTATCCATACAGATGCTAGCAGAAAGGTTACCATCCCTCCCCACCAAACCCTAAAGAAATCAACACGTGACCTATTGATGTTTGGCCACCTTTGGCATTTTTGGTAAAAAATTGGAGCTTTTCTGTGAAGTGGAGTTCAAGAGACAAGAATAACTGGTAGGAAAAGTGCAAATGTTGGTTTAGTGCAGAGAATGTTCTTTTAAGGTTAGAATTTTGGCAACGTATCTAACCCCGTGATGTACTTGTTTCAGGAGTTTGATGTGGACAGTGTAGAGTGAGCTTTACTCTGAATCTAACTCTGTGCCAGAATTGTTTGATGGGGACAGTGTAGAGTGAGCTTTACTCTGTATCTAACCCCATGGCATTCTGCCCTGGGAATGTTTGATATGAATCAGGCATCTAACCCAGGCTGCACCTGCCCTGGGAGTGTTCAATGGGGAAGAGTGTGCCTGAAATTATGCTTCAGCCAACAAATTCTGTACCGAACATGAGAGTGCTTGATACTAGTATCCACAACACTCTGGTTAATGAGCACAGAATTTGAAGTGAATAACAGTGTTTGCTCAGACCTGCTCATTTGATTAATTGTGAAGGACTTCGTCTGACTGAGATGGATAAATTGGCGTCAGCTATTTCTGATGGCTGTCTCTCAGGTGCTCATACATCATCAGCCGCTGATCCACCCCAAATCCATACTAACAGAAGTGAAAGCTATTGAACATGCAGTTGCATTTGGAAGGGAAAGAACCTAACAGACCACAGAGCAAGCTTGTTTTAATAATCTGGCTCCACTAGGGTGTTCAAAATGTTCCCTTAAAGGCTTACTAATGAATGGAGTGGCCTTGGTGTTCCCATTTGAAGTTCTTGTTTGGAATATTATAATCTCTATTTACTGGCTTCTTATTGTACTGAAAATAAAGAGTGCATTTAAAACGTCTTCTAGTGCCTTGCTTGTCGTTGTTAAGAGTTTCGGGCTGTAGCAAAAAACGTTATTTTAAAATGGACAAACTGTTCAGTTGGTTAAGGAAGCTTGCAAGTAAACCATTCAGGCAGGGAGATTTGATTCCTGATCTCAAACAGGTTGGAGAATTCATAGAATCCCTACAGTGTGGAAGCAGGCCATTTGGCCCAACAAGTCCACACTGAACCTCAGAGCATCCCACCCAGACCCACCCCCCTACAACCCACCTAAGCTACACATCCCTGAACACTACAGGCAACTTAGCATGGCCAATCCACCTAACCTGCACATCTTTGGACTGTGGGAGGAAACCTGAGCACCCAGAGGAAACCCACGCAGACACAAGGAGAATGTGCAAACTCTACACAGACAGACACCTGAGGCTGGAATCGAACCTGGGTCCCTGGTGCTGTGAGGCAGCAGTGCTAACCACTGAGCCACCATGCTGCCCCCAATTGATGTGGTTGGGGCTGATTCACAACAGTCCCTCTGGGCTGCCATTTCTGTTGTTCTGTCCAGTAACCGCCTCATGAAAGTTTACGCCTTCAAGAAAAATGGTCAAGATTAGCTGTGATACCTCTACGAGTGAATAGCTCGCCGGTAATCATTCTGTGGGATTTCCTACCTGAAAAATATCCACTAGAGGGAAGCAGACTTCAGCAAGAGGATTGCAATAGTGCGACTGCTATCGGTAAGAAGGGAAAAAGAGTTAGATTGTTTCTCTAATATTCTGCTAACTTTTTGATTTTATAAATAGAAAATTTGTAAATAATCTTGGCATTTACAACTTGGAAAGAGGCCCTACAGCCCAGCGTGTCCAATGCTGATTATAAAGCAACTATCCACTCCCCCATTTTCCAGCAACAATTCTTCCTTAAAACCCCTCTAAACCTCCTTACCTTAAATCTGTGCTCCCTGATTATTGACCCTTCTACTAAGGGGAATCGGATAACCCTTCAGTTTTCTCTGCTGTAAGGAACACAACCCCAGCTTATCTAGTCTCTCTTCATAGCTAAAATGCTCCAGCTCAGGTGAAATTCCTCTGTACCCTCTCTAGTCCAATCGTATCCTTGCTATGGCATTGCTTGACTAATAAAGACAGCTATGCCTTATGCCTTCTTAAGCAACTTGTCCATCTGTCCTGTTGCCTTCATGGATCTGTAGACGTGCACCCCAAAGTACCTCTGTACTTTCTAGGGTTCTACTGTTTGTTCTGTACCTCCCTTTGCTTCCAAAACGCATTTTTTCACACTTTTCCAGATTAAATTCCATTTACTGTTATAAATCACTGGTTAGGATCTAACCAAAGTAAGATACTGTGGATACTGGAGATGAGAGTGAGGGAATTTGGGGTGTGTGGCAGCATCTATAGAGGGAGAAACTTAATGTTTTGAGTTTGATACGACCCCTCTTAGCAGTTGGAATATTCTATGTATTACACATTAGGAATGATATAGAGAATGCAGATGATATAGAAACATAAATACAGAATATTGGGGCATGTGTGGGCCATTCAAGCATGTTTCAATATGATATCCAGCTCAGTCCCCTGTTCCTACTTTCTCCCCGTATCATTTGGTCCTTTTTGTCCTAAGAACTATAATCTACATCTTTCTTGAAAGCCTTCAAATTTTTGGCCTCAGCAGTTTCCAGTGGCAGAGAATTCCACAGGCTCGCCACTCTGGCTGAAGAAATTTCTCCTCATCGCAGTCTTAAAAGGCACAACCCCTTAACCTTATACTGTGATCACCGGTTCTGGACTCCCTGGTCATTGAGAAAATCCTTCCTGCCTATAACCTGTCCAGTCCTGTTAGAATTTTACAGGTTTCTATGTGATCGCACCCCACCCCCATCTTCTAAACTCTAGTGAATATCGTCCTAACCAGTCCAGTCTCTCCCCATATATCAGACCAGCCATTCCAGGAATTATTCTGATAAACCTTCTTTACACTCCCTCAGTGGCCAAAACAGCCATCCTCAGTTAAGGAGATTGAAACTGCACACAGTATTCAAGGTGTGGTCTGATCAATGCACTGTATGGTTGCAGCAAGACATCCCTGCTCCTGGACTCAAATCCTCTCATGAAGGCCAACATACCATTTGCCTTCTTCGCTGCTACCTGCAATACTTACTTTCAGACTGGTGTACATGGACACCCAGGTCTTATTGCACCTCCCCCTATCCCAATCTATCACCGTTCAGATAATAATCCGCCTCCTTGTTTTCTGTTACCAAAGTGATTTAGCTCGCATTTATCCAGGTTATGCTCCATCTGCCATATATTTGCCCACTTTTATTTAACTTGTCAAAAATACAAGTGATCAGGAATTTTACATAGGTGAAAGGCTTGCATAACATCGGAAACCTCCTGCACAACAAGAATTCTGTCAAACAGAAGTAGACCATTCTGCTCCTCGAGCCTGCTCCACTATTCAATAAGATGATTACTGATCCTCTTTTTCAGCTACCATTTTCTGCATTTCCACATCTCTGCCATGATTTCTCTAGCATTCAAAAGTTATTGCTGTGTCTGGACTTGAATATATTCACTAGCTAAGTATTCACAGTTCTTTGGGATAAGACAATCAGAAAGGCTTATTACCCTTTGAAGAAATTTCTTATCTCAGTCCTAAATGGCCAACACGTTAGTCTGAGACTGGGACCCTGGTTCCTCCCTGCATGTAGCCTTTCAAGTCACTTTGAGTTTTTATATATTTCAATGAGATCATCTGAACTTTAGAGAAATCCAGAGAATATTCTCCTGCTCTGCTCAGTCTCTTTGAGAACAATCCCCTTATCCTGAGAAAATGGTGAATCCTAGGGGTGCAGGTATGTAATTATTTAAAATTTGCCTTGCAGGTAGACAGAGTAGTTAAGAAGGGTTTAGCACACTTGCCTTCATTGCTCAGACCTTTGGGTATAGGGGTTGGGATGTCATGTTGATGTTATACAGGAAACGTCCTGGTGGGGCCTCTTCTGGAGTACTGTGTGCCATTCTGGTCGCCCTGCTACAGGAAGGATATTATTAAATTGGAGAGGGTTCAGAAAATATTTACTAGGATGTTATTGGGAATAGAGGGGGCATTTTTCCGCTGGAGCGTAGGAGATTGGGGGTGAGTTTATTGAGGTTTATAAAATCATGAGGGGCATAGAAAAAGTGAATAGCAAGTGTCTTTTCCCATGTTCTTGATTTAGGGTAGTGTGGCCAGTGTATTGGGCGTACTGTGTCCTCTTAGCATTGTGTATCAAGTAGGCACCTGCAGATGAAGTTGTTGGGATATCCGTTGTTTGCAAAGACCTTGTCTAGGTGCTGTTCCTCTTTCTGCGTAGTTCTGGCATATTGCAGTAAGTTGTGACCTGTTTAAATAGTGTTGGAACTCCCCAATGGTCATTCGTTCTACCTTGACATTGAGAAACGGAAGTTGGTCGTCTTCTCTCATAAATTTGCTCCCATTGAAAACGTTGTTGATGAGATGGTGTGTCTCTTCTAACTTGGTGCGTTTAATGATGACAAACATGTTGTCCACGTATTGTAGATGTCAGGGTAGAATGAATGACCAACAGGGAGTTCCAAACCACAGTATATAGGAAGGCAACCCACATTGACCCAATCCTCGATTTCCACAGCAATCACCCCAATGTCCACAAACAAAGCTGTGTTAGAACACTATTCAAATGGGCCACAACTCACTGCAACACACCAGAACTACGCAGGACGAAGAGCACCTATACAAGGTCTTTGCTAACAACGTAATATCCCAACAACTTCATCCACAGGTGCCTACTAGGATAGACGCTGCCGAGAGGACACAGTACATCCCAATACATTGGCCACGCTACTGTATATCAAGAACATATCAGAACTGACAAGACTCCTACAACCACTAGGAATCATGATAGCACACAAATCCACAGCCACACTACGACAAACACTCACAAGGACCAAAGACCCCATACCTATGACATGCAGGACCAGTGTAGTTTACAAAATACCTTGCATTGACTGCAACAAACATTATGTTGGCCAGACTGGAAGGGAACTAGCCATCAGGATACACGAACACCAGCTAGCTACATGGGGTTTGATTGCCATTCTGACTGGGGTAGATTTAGAACCTGTCTCCTTGCCCTACCCAGAATGGAGTTCTCAGCACTGGAGGTCAGCCCTGTCCTTGGGCAGCGAACTTTAAATAATTTGAGGTGAAACAACATATCACAGTAGGAGATGGGTAACTAGAGGACTTGGGTTAAGAGGTTTAAAAAAAATTCCAGCTCTAGGATTAAGGACACAAATCTGGGTGGATAAAGATGCAAAAGGTATATAGGATCGTCTGGCTCTGTAAGTATTAGGGCAGAGTTCAAAAGCGGAGTGTGTGTGAGAAACAACCCAAAACAATACACCACAGGAACAGGCCCTTTGGCCCTCCAAGCCTGCACCAAACATTTTGCTCTTCCATACTAAAACTGTTTCCACTTGCAGGATCCATGTCTCTCTATTCCCTTCCTTTTCATGTATTTAACCAGGTGTTTCTTGTATGCTGCTATTGTGTTTGCTTCCAAGCACTTCACAGCACGTTCCAAGCACTCACCACCCTTTGTGTGAAAAAATTGCCTCACACATCTCTTGTACACTCCACCCACCCACCCCCTCCCCGCTGCACCCTTGAACCTGTCCCCTAGTAATTGACCCCTCCAGCCTGGGAAAAAGCCTCATACTTTCCACTCTATCCATGCCATTCACAATCTCATAAACATCTATCAGGTCACCCCTTAGCGTCAAAACAAACCCAGTCTATCCAGCCTTTATAGCTAAAATCTCCCATACCAGGCAACATCCCTAGTAAACCTTTTCTGTACCCTCTCCAAAGCATCCACATCCTTCTGGTAGTGTGGTGACCAGAACTGTATGCAATATTCCAAGTGTGGCCTAACTAGAGTTCTATTAACCTGTATAGATCGTTGGCGAGACTGCAGTTAGAACAGTGTGCCCAGTTTCTGGGCTCAAAATTAACTCATTGCCCTACAACCTCAACTAAAATAAAGAGATTTCTAAAAATGAAAGTAGAAATTAGAGGTAAGAGAGTCTGGGCCGTTTTCCATTGGAACATGGGCAAAGAGGCTAGATCTCTGTAAAATTGTTTAATTGTTTATCTCATGGGGAAGATGAGGAAAACGTCAGTAACTAAAAGGTTTAAATTTAACATTACTAAATGAAGGAGAGATTGGGATTGTTTTGTTTTTGCTCAGAGGATCGCTTTACTCAACAGAGTGATGGAACCTGAACCGGTAGCGGCTTTTAGAAGCAAGATTTTGAAAGATAAAGGGAATGTGCAGAGGATTTGAACAATCTTAGAAAGCGGGAACAGACACAATGTGCCTGTAAAATGACATGATTCTGCAAGAAAATGTTTTTAAGGCATTTGACAGCCTGTAGAGAAGTAGAAGGGTAATTCTCACTGAGGGACATAAGGTAATAAATGGCGTAGATGAGGTCAAGGCAGAATACCCATTTCACGTTCTTTCAGGACACTCAACATGTGACAAACGTGCAGTGATCTAATGTATTGATAGGCATTAAGGGATATTTGAAATAAAAATTTGAAGTGCTAGAAAACACGTAATAGATCAGGAAGGCAGGAGGTAAACAAGGAAATGTTTGAATTTAATAAAAAGTAGTGTTTCCTCCAACAGTGACTACTACTCTATTAGCTGCAGTGCTCTTTGGGACATATGTTGGTTGTGAAAGGTGCTAAATAAATGCAAGTTTTTATTCTCTTCCATGTGAACTGGAAATTCACAGCTGATATTAAAGGGGAATCTGGAGAAGGACATGATCAGGACATGATCAATGGTAGTGTCCCTTCCTTTGAATCAGGAAAGCCCAGGTTTAACTCCCACCAGCTCCAGAGGTGTGTCACGACGAATTTGAACAAATTATTCAAGGGGCTGTCATGGTACAAACAGTAGTGTCCCTACCACTGAGCCAGAGGGCCCGGGTTCAAGTCCAACTTGCTGTACAGGAGTATTATTATGTCTCTGAGCATGTAGGTTAGAAAATATCAAGAAGCACGTGAGGAAGAAAGGAACAGGAGGATATGTTTGAAAACAAAAAATACTGGAAATCACGGCAGGTCAGGTGGCATCCATGGACAGAGGGCAAGCTAATGTTTAGATGACTCCTCATCAGATCTATACTTGAAATGGTAGTTTGCTCTCTCTCCACAGATGCTGCCTGACCTGCCGTGATTTCCAGCATGTTTTTTTTCAGTACAGATTCCAGCATCTGCAGTAATTTGCTCCTAGGAGGATATATTTGCAGGGTGCGATGAGGAGGAGGCTCACAGCATAAACACCCAATCTGTTGAGCCAAATGACCTGTTTCTGTGCTGTAGGTTTGATCTACCTACAGTAAATGGGGGACTGAGGAAAGAGATAACAGGGAGTGAGATCATTGGGGAAAGTCAATGGTAGAAGGCAAGAACAACACAACAAATGATGGCACATGATTAAAATGAGGTCAGTAATGCAACAAGAAACAAAAGATGAGGCATGATTTTGTGAAAAATCAGGGGGGGAGGGGAGGTTAATGGAAGAAGGTGCAAAAAACAATGGTATGGTATCAGAACTGAGACGTTATACCTATATGAAAGACTGAACGTGCTGGGGATCTTTTTTCCTGAAAAATCCAGCAAGGATGACAATTTCCAAGCAAACCCATGAGTGCAGAGCAGCTGACTGGCATGTACTGATGGGGCATTCCCGTGCACTCCTACTGGTTCCGGTGCAAGCATTCTACTGGAAGGAGTATTTGATACATGATGGGTAGTTGAGTTAGAATATTAGGAGTTAAATTGGAAGTGGTGAAGTGTTTTGAGTGCTTCTCATTTTGATGTGTCTTCTCTTGCAATAAACACTTCACAATGATTTAATGTATTTCGATGAAAGCAGGAATTACTTTAAATGCCATTTGTCTTTGTTAAGTAACAGAAATGGCCACTGCTGAGTTTACAAAATGAGGTGTCATTTCTGATATTTGCCCATAATCTGTGGGTGACCAGTTACAGCTTTCTGGGGAAGTACTTCTTGTATGTTTAGTCCATGAAATGTGCTAAAGTTCAGCATCTTAAATGTCCAAAAGATTGACTGTGGTTCCATTTGTGTTTTCACAGTGGAAAGATGTGTGGGTGGACTGTGATTTTGAAAGACACCGTTCTTCTATTTCACCATCAGCTGGGACAAAAACATGATCAAAGATGGCAAAGAAGGACTGGAAAGTAAGATTTGTATGGAGCAAGTAGTGTTACAGATACAAGGGCCAAACTGGACACCTCTTTTGCTCACATTTCTACAACCTAATAGATGTTGACAAAAACAATAGTTTAGAGCAAACAAAGGTCATTTTGAGAGGGTTGGAATTGAACTGCCAAGAAGGTGAGTTAGATGCCTTTATGATTTTGATTAGACGACACTTGGAGTAGGTATCGTGAACAGTTCTGGTTGCTGTAGTATTAGAAGAATGTAGAAGCACTGGAGATGGTGCAAAAACAAATGACTGTCTCGGTACCAGAAATGAGAGGTTATACCCGTCTGAAAAACTGAACCAGCCAGGGATCTTTTCTCTAGAAGAGAGACTTGAGAGGTGACCTGATAGAAGTCTTTAAAATTATAAATAGATTCATTAGGCTGGACATGGAAATGATTTTTCTCACTGAACGTTAAAACAGGTTCAAGGGGCTGAATGACCTATTCCTATGTTTTTGCAGGTGAGGCTGGAACTAATATAAGACGATCACTTTCACAAGGGAATTCAGGAGAAACCTCTTTAATCCAAAAAGAGGTGTGAATGTGACATGCCTGTGCAGGGAACGGTTGAGATAGTTCATGTAGATGCATTTATGGGGAGGCCAAACAATTGAGTAAGAAAGGAACAGAACAATAAATATATTTAGATGAAAAAAGTTGTAAGATGTGTGGAGCATTAAAAAATGTACTAGAAATTTTGGGCTGAATGGCCTGTGTCTGTGTAAATTTTATGTAATACTGTGTAAGGATATAAGAACCAGGAGCAGAAATAGGCCATTCAGCCCTTCAAACCCGCTTCAACATTCGGAGATCTCAAGGCTGATATTCTACTTCAATACCATTTTCCTGCACTATCATCATATCCCTTGATGTTTGACCTTTATAGAAATGTATCAATCTCAGTCTTGAACATGTTCAATGTGTGAGGTTTCCAGGACAGAAAATTCCTAAAGATTCAGCATTAACTAGAGACAGGAGTTTGTATAGGAGCAATCATTATGTAGGTCGTGATCTTGAAGGCTCTTCTGGTTCACATTCAGTGGGCTTTTTTTTTGTTATGAGTAAAGGAAGGTAGTGAGGGAGTATAGCTGTGGTTGTAATGTGTAGTCGTAGCAAATGTTTTTTGACAAATAAATACCTAAATATTCATCAGCTTTTTGGAAACTTGGTCCCCTTCAAGGGTTGATTCTGCATTTGCGAAATCATCATGTGAATTCACATGTGTGGGTGATGGATGAGGATGGAATATGGCTGAGCTATGATTCAGTTCATCTCAAATGACACTGACCCTGCAGGGATCAAACCGGAGACTTTATACAATGCCTAAACTAGTCCTTAGAAACCGGGCTACTTACTCTATCTTGGGTGTCACATGGCTGGCAGAGAACGTGAGTCGTAGTAATGATTCCTCTGAGGAATCTAAGCCAATTCAGAAACAATACATCACTGTTGTACACGATGACAGTCTGGATATTCATTCAGCTACAAGAGGCCTTACTGCAAATGGATAAAACAATTATCTTGAGTGTGATGTAGGCAGCTTGAAAGGTCAGTGCTGTTGTTGTCTGGAATTGTTTTATTTTCTGAGCATTGTCTGTCTGTGCTCAGGGATGGAGAGGTGCACACGCTGCACAGTACTTAAAAATCTTTTTGGTAGAAAATCCCAGAGGTGATGTTCAGGTGACAAGCCAGAGTCTCCAAATTCATCTACACATCTACATTAGCATTAAACAGAAATGCAAGCCACTGTCTGCAATCTTCAGTCTGGACGTTTGGCCATTTTGATATTCTTTTGAGTAGAAAAATAAGTCTTAATTATGGTTGAGAATAATCAGGCTAATCGCCCATGTTCCCTTTGTCTGACCTCTGTCTCTTCATGCACTGATGCCATGACACGATGAATCCTGTATCATTTGTTGATTTATTTTCAGATGAGATTTGAAAGGATTCATTACCTTCTGAAGCTGCAATCACTGATTGTAATTGGATCTGATCAGTACTAACTGGAGTGAATCACTCTCAAAAGTAAAAACCAGATTTGAATGTCAAATTACTTAATTTTAAGAATGGCTCAAGCTGGTATCTAAAATGTCAGAGACCCTAGATTGAACAATATCTCGAGTCAACTTCCTTAGCTGCACTCCCAACCCTGACTCAGTGCCCTTCCACTCACCATACGGTATGCCTCTTTCAAGGCACATTGGCTCAGTGGTTAGCACTGCTGCCCCACGGACCAGAGTTCAATTCCAGCGTCGGGTGACTATCCATGTGGAATCTGCACACTCTCCATGTCTGCATGGGGTTTCCTCCAATGCTCTGGCTCCCCCCCACCACCGTCTAAAGATGTGCAGGTTAGGGAGGATTGGCCGTGCTAAATTGTCCCATAGTGCCCAGGGATGTGCAGGTTAGGGTGGATTGGCTGTGCTAAATTGCCCCATAGTGTCCAGGGATGTGCAGGCTAGGGTGAATTGGCCGTGCTAAAATGTCCCATAGGGTCCAGGAATATGTAGGCTACGTGGGTGAGCCATTGGAAATGCAGGGTTTCTGGGATAGGGTAGGTGGTGGGTCCGATGAAGCGTCAGTGTGTTTTTCCGCCTGGCATTTAAGCACTGGGGTCCGTTGAGATGGATTGCCTCACTTCCAGTTTTCCTTCGTAGTGCATCTACAAAAATCCCCTGTAGAGACTGCGAGAAACACTACATCGGACAAACAGAAATGAAACTAACAACAAGAGTACATGAACACCAACTGTCTACAAAAAGACACGACCAATACTCACTCATCTCAATCCACATGGACAAGGAGAACCACGACTTCGACAGGGACAACACCAAGATCCTGGGACAGGCTAGGCAGGGACAAGCACGAGAATTCCTGGAAGCATGGCACTCCACGAAGCATGCTATTAATAAACACATTGAACTCGACCCCATATACATTCCACTACGGAGGAAACCTGGAAGTGAGGCAATCCATCACAACGGACCCCAGAGTTTAAAAACCAGGCGGGAAAACATTTCTGAAGAAGGGTCTCAACCTGAAACATCAGCTTTCCTGCTCCTCTGATGCTGCTTGGCCTGCTGTGTTCATCCAGCTGTACATCTTGTTATCTCAGATTCTCCAGCATCGGCAGTTCCTACTATCTCTGGGAAAACACACCGACGCTTCATCGGAGGCTGCGCTGAGGATGTTACTAAGCATGGTAACGAAACATCTGCGGAACAACAAACCAGCTCGGCGAGCCAACCAACCTCCACACCCACAACCCGAGCTACAGATCTACTCCAAAACCTTACAGATAGGTTTTTTTTAACAATTACAATGGTTACATTAAGCTCGAGTTGAATTAAAATTTCACCATTCGTCATTGTGGGATTTTAGCCCGTGTCCCACCAGAACATTAGTCTGGAGCTCTGGATTACTAATCCAGTGACATTACCAATACACCACTGTCTACCCTTAAAAAGGGTTTTACAGTCTTCCCTTCCAAGCCGCTCCCTACCTACGTGTCTGCCTCGTCTATTTTAAACTCAGGATTGAGAAGTTTAGTGTCATAAATGTCATCTTAATTCCTTCATTACAGCAGTGACCACAATTTGGCTGTAAAGGACTTAGAGACACCTGAGTTTTTGAAAGATGATGTATGCATATAAATATTCCTTTCAACTTTTCCAATTTCTTTCCCCCATGGGGTGAGTTTTCACCAATTTAACTTGAATCTTTTCCCAAGGGCACAGATCTAGAGTTGAGCTAATTCCATTTGAGGTTGGATTTAGAGAAATCTAGTGGTATTAATAATGGTGAGGGTTGAGTAGTAGGACCTTGAGAACAGCAGGTCAAGAAAACAAATCATTCGAGTTTGATTTAATGTTGGATTGAAAGTTGTATTGAATCTCTTTTGAGTTATCAGTGTTTTAAAAAATGTTGTTTTGACACAAAAATAAAACATCGGTTTTTCTCATAAATTAGGAAGATAACAGATTCCCCAAAAGGTAATTAACTCAAGGTTAATTTCCATCCTCCAAACAGAGCTGTGAAATCATTTATGTATTTTATTTCCTCTTAAAATTAGTGAACTTTTCACCTCTTTCAGTCTCAATCTGTTTTCTGATTTACCTAGGCTTCTGTTCAGCTTTTTTCAAATTTGAATCCTGATCTTCTCCTTAAAGCTCAGACCACCACCTATGCTTTTTTCAACTTATTTTAAAAATGCATTACTTACCTTGATCAGCTAATAAATTGCAGCCCAGGGAGGAATCTAAGACTGATGGGAGCCAGAGATTGAGAAACACAAGGACAGTCAGCTCTTGCGAGCCACATTATGCATAACTGGGACTGTTATTAATCACAAAATTAACACAATAACAGAAACAATATCTGCATAATAAATTGCAGGCACCCAGCATGGCAACTGTGAGATTTAAGCAATCAGCATCAGTATTACACAATCAAATCTGTAACATTTTTATTCACTGGTTAATGAACAAATCATTTGGCAATTACATTGTAATATTTTAGAAGGACCAAGCTTTGGTGGCTTGTCCAAATCGATGCCAGGTGGCAGGATTGGAGTCCCTTACTTTATCTTAAAAGAAAAGGGATCTAAAAGAAATGAAGGTGGAACATTGTCAATTCTGCTGACCATTGTCACAAAATTAGCTCCAAGGGGATGGTTGTACTGTCGTGTAGCAGTCATAGAGTCATACAACATGGAAACAGGCCCTTCGGCCCAACTTGCCTATGCCACCCAGTTTTCACAATTTAAACTATCCCATTTGCCTGTGTTTGATCCCTATCCCTCCATACCTATCCCATCCATATACCTGTCCAAATGTTTCTTAAATGACAAAACTGCCTCCCCCACTACCTCTGGCAGCCCATTCCAAACACTCATCACCCTCTGTGTGAAAAAATTACCCCTCTGGACCCTTTCGTATCTCTCCCCTCTCACCTTAAACCTATGCCCTATAGTTTTAAACTCCCCTACCATGGCGAAAAGCTGTTGGCTATCTACCTTACCTACGTCTCTCATGATCTTATAGATCTCTATAAGGTCACCCATCAGTTTCAGGGAAAAACTTCTCAGCCTATCCAGCCTCTCCTTATAACTCAAACCTTCCAATCAGGCAGCATCCTAGTAAATTATTTCCACATTCTTTCTAGTTTAATAATATCCTTTGTATAGAAGGGTGACCAGAATTGCACGCAGTGCTGTACTCCAAATGTAGCCTTACCAACATCTTGTACAGCTGCAGCAAGATGCAGCAACTCCTATAGTCAATGCTTTGACCAAAGAAAAGAAACGAGCTGAAAGCCTTCTTCACTACCCTGTCTATCTGTGTCACTATTTCAGCAATATGGCGCGCTAGCAATAACCTCATTGGTTCAGTTCTGGGTGCCTCCTGTACAGAGGAGCGCTGTATAGTAGATGGGATGTCCAGGTAGCAATGGATGTAGTAGCACAAAGAGAAGGATTAGGAATTGGCTTCCAGATGACAGCCTTGCAATGGAAGATTGTAGCCAAGTCCGTAGTGGACTGGATAATTATTCTCTGAACTAGGTAGGTCCAAAGAACTGCCAACCAGCTCATTCATGAATGCTAAACTTTCCATTGAAATTGTCTTGTTAAACTCCAGAGGTGCCCCTACTGCACACTTGGAAGGGCTAAGGATATCCTTGAGCTTCAATAGACATTTACTCTTAAATGTCTCCGCACTTTTGAGTAAATAAGCAATATCTCTCTGAGAACAGTGTGTATATGGTCCCAGGGAATGATGATAGATTGGGAAATGCTGATATACAAAGGGACCTGACTATCCTTGTACACCAGTCCCTAAAATCAAACATGCAGTTAGGAAGGCAAATGGTATGTTGTCCTCCCTTGCAAGAGGTTGGGCGGCATGCTGGCTCCATGGTTAGCACTGCTGCCTCCTAGCACCAGGGACCCAGGTTTGACTCCACCCTCGGGCAACTGTCTATACAGAGTCTGCACATTCTCCCTGTGTCTGCGTGGGTTTCCTCCGGGTGCTCCAGTTTCCTCCTACAGTCCAAAGATGTGCAGGTTAACGTGGATTGGCCATGCTATATTGCCCATAGTGTCCAGGGATGTGCAGACTAGGTGGATTAGCTGTGGGAAATGCAGGGTAAGTGTAGGGGGGGTGGGACACTTTTCGGAGTGTCAGTGTGGACTTGATGGGCCAAATGGCCTGCTTCCTCACTGCAAGGATTCTATGAGGAGCACACTGCAGCTATATATAGCCTTAGTAAGACCACACCTCAAGTATTTTGTGCAGCTTTACTCTCCTTACCTAAGAAAATATACTTGCCAAAGAGAGAGCAGCCAAAGTCCACCAAGCTGATTCCCGGGATCACAAGCTTAGTGTATGAGAACAGATTGAGTCAACTAGGCCTGTATTCACTGGAGTTTAGAAAGAAAAGAGATTTTAATTAAATATTACAGGCTGGATGCAAGGATGATGTAGAACAAGGGGCCATGTTCACAGGATACAGGGGAGAGGCCATTAGTTTGGACTGAGATAAGGAATCTTTACTGTGGCATTCTCTGCTGGCCAAGTCACTGGATATGTTTAAGAAACATACGGATGGATTTCTAGGAACCAAAGGTATCAAAGAACATGGAGAGAGAAGTGGGAGTTAAAGGATCAGTCATGATCATGTTGAATGGTAGAGCTGGCCCAATGGCCGACTACTGCACTCTTTTTTCAATCTTTGTATGTTTGTGCAAACAGAATTTGTCCTTGGATGAACTGGAAGCAGACTAATGGATTAGTGATTCCCGAAGGAAAATGATGGGCAGGGGCAGGGTTGGTCTCAACCTGTCAATCTGCCAGAGTCGATTTGATTTGAGCTATTATGGGGTACAGTGAAAAGTTTTGTTTTGCATGCAGTACAAGCAGACCATATCGTAGAAAGTGCAATTGGGTAATAGAACAGAGTGAGGAATACTATATTATGGCTGCACAAAATACAAGATCCACATTAGATTTTAAATTTGAGAGGTCTGTTCAGAAGTCTGATAACAGCAGGGAACAAACTGTTCTTGAATCTGTTGTTAGGTGCGTTTAAGCTTTTGCATCTCCTGCCTGGTGGAAGAGGTTGTAAGAGCTCATTTCTGGAGTGGGAGGGGTCTTTCATGTGAGCTGCCTTCCTGAGGCATTGAGAAGTGTAGATGGAGTCAATGGCTTGCACGATGAACTGGGCTGTGTTCACAACTTTCTGTAATTTCTTACGGTCCTGGGCAGAGCCGTGGTGCATCCAGATAGAACGCTTTCTATGGTGCATCTATAAAAGTTGGTGGGAGTCCTTACGGACTGGCGAATTTCCTTAGCCTCTTGAGGAAGAAGAAGCGTCGTTGTGCTTTCTTGACCATCGCACCTACGTGGATCATCCAGGACAGATTGTTGGTGATCGTTACACCTAGGAACTTGACGCTTTCAACCCTCTCCACCTTAGCTCCATTGATATAGAGAGGGGCGTGCCCGCCTGCTTGCTTCCTGAAGTCAATGATCAGCTGTTTAGTTTTGCTGACATTTGAGGGAGAGACCGTTATCTTTACACTACAGCACCAAGCACTCCATCTCTTTCCCGCATTTTCGGAAGACTTTCTGCACTAAGTGCCAGGAATGTGTAGCCACAAAGACACAGTACCCAGTAAGATTCAGAAGAGATGAGAAGAAAGCTGAAAAAAAAAGGCGACTTCTCGGAAAGTGAAAATAATGTTTTAAACATTTTGCAAAACAACTGGGTGAAACAGAATAGCAGTAACGAAATGTCATTTACAGTGTGATTAATAACATTGACGAAAAAGGCCAAACTTCAGTCTCATTAATTAAGCTGTCTCACTTGTGTTACAAATAGATAACTCCTCTACGTGTAACTGAAATGAACTCTCAATGAACTTTTTGAGCAACACCAACATGACACCAGGAGATGTCAGGCCAGTTACTCATGGTGTGACATGCTACTGGCAAATACGATATGAATAACAACATCTCATGTTTACAAAACATCTGAAAGATGCCATCAGACAAAAGCTGAGTCAGAGAAGGGCCAGCTGACAAATTTCCATGGCATTCCGTGAAATTGTGCTAAATTCTTACGGCACACTTCAGGAAGGATGCGAAAACTTTAAAAGAGTGGGGGAAAGACTTGTAAAAGTGGTCCAGGAATAAAGGGCTTCAG